CAGATCGCAGCCCCCCAAGGACGGCGAGGTCCCGTTTGGGTCCGCGGTAGGTACCCTCTCCGCTGGCCTCCCCAGCAGCCCTCGAAAGTGGCGACAATTTCGCAGATCGCAGCCCCCCAAGGACGGCGAGGTCCCGTTTGGGTCCGCGGTGGGTACCCTCTCCGCTGTGCCCCCCAGCAGCCCTCGAAAGTGGCGACTGTTTCGCAGATCGCAGCCCCCCAGGGACGGCGAGGTCCCGTTTGGGTCCGCGGTGGGTACCCTCTCCGCTGGCCTCCCCAGCAGCCCTCGAAAGTGGCGACAGTTTCGCAGATCGCAGCCCCCCAGCGATGGCGAGGTCAAAGGCAGGGGGGAAGAGAGGGACGGGAGGGGTGGGAAGGAAGGTTCGCGCGAGCAGTGCTCTATTCAAAACGAGAACCCAACGCAGGAGGGTTGGGAACAAATCGTCCTATTACTAGTTTGGACTATTTTGAATATACCTCCTGTAGTGGGACGTGCCCGACTCGAGCCTGCCAGGCCACGCTCTTGGAACCAACGGGTGCTGCACAGGCAAAAGCCAGGTTCAGATAACAGATAGCAAAGGCATCAAGAAACAAGACGGTCTCAACCAGACGTGCTCTAAGACAACCTCGTGCACACCGCGAGAAGCTCTCAGCACATTCTTTGGGGGCCCTATCTTGCCGTCGCTCGGACGTCCATTTCCCGTGCATTCGTCGGTGTCGTGTGTGTTTTTTTCTGCTCGATGTTCCAAGATGGTCCTCGATGGTTCTCGCCGAGAAAAAATGCACACGTCCGAGCGATGCCAAGCTATAGGCAAGCCAAGACGCTTCGCCACTGCTCCATCCGCGGGGCACTCCCCCCCGCGACCTGCCAGCGTGGGCGCGGGCCGCCCTGCGCGCGCGAGGCGCCGCCCGCGAGCCGAAACAGAGCACGGCGGCGCTGCCCTCCTCCTCCCTTCTTCCTCCTCCTTTCTTCTTCCTCCTCCTCCTCCTCCTCCTCCTCCTACTCCTCGTCCTCCTCCCTCTCTCCCTCCCTCCCTCCCTCCTCCCTCCTCCCTCCTCCCTCCCTCCTCCTTCCCTCCCCTCCCTCCATACCTCATCCTCCCTCTCCTCACCGTCTCCTCCCTCCTCCGTCTCTCCTCCTCCTCCTCCTCCTCCTCCTCTCCTCCTCCTCCTCCTCCTCCTCTTCCCCTACTCCTCCTCCTCCTCCTCCTCCTCCTCCTCTCCTCCTCCTCCTCCTCCTCCTCCTTCTTTTCTTCCTTCTCATCTTCCTCCTCTGGCAGCGGCGCGCATGCCGGCGCGCGTTCCATCAACGCTCCAAGGCCGGCCCCGCAGGGACGGCCCTTGCACTCAGCAAGCGACAGCTCTCCCTTGAGGGGGAGGGGCGCGCGAGAACGACATAGCCGACCTCCCTGCGTCCGCCGCCGCCGCCACAACAAGACCCTCTTCCACTTCATTCCTTCTTGCTCCTCCAACCCCATAACAATGAATCTTCTCCCCGTCCTCCTCCCTCCCTTCGCCCTCCCCCAGCTGCCGCTCCTGGTCATCGTCGTCTTCCACCCCCTCGCCCCACCTTGCCTGCTCGTCCTGTTCCTGCAGTTCCTCATGCTCCTCGGCAGGATTGATGCGGAGGAGGACAATTTCACTGCAATGACTCGTCAGCCATTTGAGCTGGTCCTAACCCCCCTGTTCCTGCTCGTGCTGCTGCTGCTCCTCCTTCTACGCCTCACCCTCCTCCTGCTCTTGCTCCGCATGCCCAGTACGCTCCAACTGCTCTCCCATCTGCGGCATCTGCTCCTCTGCTCCTCCTTGTGCTCATGTTGCTAGTGCTGCTGCTGCTCCTCCTTCACCTCGTCAACCTCATCATCCTCCTACTCTCCTTCACGTCATCCTCACTCGCCCTCCCCGTTCTCGTGCGCTCGTCCTTCCATTCCGGCGGACGAGCTCGACATGGGCCCCGAGGATCACCAAGACAGGCATCGCCGACCGCCTGAGCGGTCAGCTCGCCTACGCCAGGCTCTAGGGCACGTGCAAAATGCAAGTCATGCCAGCCAGCCAATACCGAGCACCAGTTACTTTGTCCCTCCCGCTCGCTGCACGGCCCAGGAGCTACGGCGCTGACCCTCATGGGCATGGGCATCGAGGCGCAATGTGCGCCGCGCACGCCCGTGCAAAGCACTTCTCGGACGCGGTACGCCTGACAGTCTGGGGCAGGTGTTGGCAGGGCCTCGACGCTCGCTGGCCGCTGGAGATGCCACTCGGCTGCTGCCGCGCGCCTCCGGAGGGACCGGCGCTGCTTGACGAACAGCCTGTGCTTGGCACCATCCTGGAGGAGCGGGCGCAGGCCAGCATGGCGCAGGCGAGATCGTGGCGCACATCTTCCGGGTTGCCTGCCAGTATCGCTACGACCGGCAGGTCCGTGTCGTGCCGACCCTGGCGTGTCTCTGACACCCCAGGGATCGTTCACCCTTGAGCGATCGGCCGTTTCCGAGACGTCAGATCGCTCAGCGTCGACGGATTCTGGGTCGCTGGCGGTGTTCAACGTTGAACGCTGGCAGCGGGGTCGGCGACCGTGGACACGACGCGAACCTGCCATGTAACATCTTGCTCAAGAGAAGGCTTCGACGGCATGGGCGAGGTTGAGATCGAGACTCTCTCGCGGAAGGCGTGGGCACCACTTCGAGATTTGTGAGCTGCTTCAGAGTGGTCAACGGCCCAGGCTTTTTTTAATGCGGCGCATTTGCTACATCTACCAGAAGGCATACTTGTCTATGTTAACAGTATTGCCCGTAGTGCACGGAGGAGGTGTGGCCAAGTATACGACACGTGGTCGGGCCGTGCACGGCATGTTCATCCCGAGCACACATCAACTCCACGTTAACAACCAAAAGTGACACTGAGTAGCTGATGGGTTACATTCCGAAATAGGAAGTCGCCTGAACGCCGTCCTAAATTCATGGTGGCAATTGTCCGCATGGTAATGTTAGTCTTCGCTTCCACCAAACACAACACTGGGTGAGTACAAGAAACGGATTCACCTATTGCTTTATCTGCTAGATTCGTATCTTGCCGTACGTGTGTTGCTTGCTTATCACGTATTTTAGGTTCTAACCTACGGTCGGTTGTTCGTAGAGTACGCATTTGTGACTGTGGGCAGGCACGCATGGACGCCATGTGGGAGCTGCTGGCCGACATCTACGACACACACTTCAATCCATGCGTATCCATATCTTATGTATATGCGTGCACAGATTGACATATACCTAAGTGTGTACAAATGTATGCCATATTTCAAGACATGGAGTTTGGTTGACACGCGGGACAACTCGTCTGCTGAGGGTACCAAGCGGGTCTCCCCGAGGCCCCCGCCCATGCAAGCGATGCGCCCCTGCTGACGCCAACGAATCGGCAAGATAGGCCAACTGCACTCACCCGTCTCAATGTACCAGCGGCAGGATATTTCAATACAGGGCGCGCTGGATTCTGCCCAGACGGCTCAGAGAGGCTGCGCGAACCACGTTAATGCTGTCTTCGCTCTCCCCAAAAGAACCCCGAATCGAATCGATAAGTCAGATCGGCGATCGGAATGAACCGGATTGGCGGAAATCGGCAGCCAAGTCGGGAGAAATCGAATCGGCGGAAATCCGCAAGCACGTAAAGCCTCGACCGAGTAATCGGAATCCGGATCGGAAGACGCAGTCGAAACGAATCGGAACTGGAAGCCATCGAGAGCGAATCGACTCGGAGTGGAGATGAAGCCTACTTCCCTGGCGAACGGCCCTGGCCTGCTGTCGAGAGCACGGCCCTTCGCTGAGGTGCGGCCAGGTCGCAGTCTCGCCGCCCGCAGGGGGCACGTCAACCGAGTGCCTGGGCTGCGGAGGCGAGGGCGCGGGCACGTGCCCTCGGGAGTGACACGCTGGGCAAGGCTGCGGCAAGTTCGTGTCGTGCCGACCTGTTGACGCTGGCGCCACGGGGATCGCTCAGATCTTGAACGATCGGCCGTCTCCGAAACACCGACGGACTCGACGCTGAGCGCTGGCGGCGGGGTCGGCGCCGGTGGACACGACGCGAACCTGCAGTGCAGGAACCCTCCGACAGGTGGGCGTGCCCGCAGCACGAGTGGACCAGGCCCGACCCCTCTGGCAGTTGCAGGGGCCCAGGGATGCTGGCCAAACCGAGCTGGGGGTCGCCGCGCTGCCGCGGGTTGCCGCTAAGAACATCCTCGACCAGTGCGAGAAGAGATTGGATGAGCAGTGCGGCCCAAATGCACCGCCGATTCAGCCGTCTGCTGCGGACGAGCCTGGCATCGACCCATCACCGTGGGGACGGTGGCGCTGACCCGCAGGCGGTCGAAGCCCAGGACGTGGCCGTGCGTCGCTGCCTGGCATCCCCGCCCGTGGACCTCTCGGGAGCGGCCAAATCCTCCCAAAGCGACCTGCCGTTCCCAATGCGGCCGAGGACGCCGGGAGGTGGGCACGGTTGGGCGGCTCGATCCTCGGAGCGCGCCGCGCGGCTCGAGCCTCAGCCGGCGAGGCCGGGGCGGCGGCTGGTCAAGCGTGCGCTGTGACTCTGGTCGACGCTGCAGCGGCGACGCGGTCGGTCACAAGAACCAGTGAGGAACTCGTCACCGCCGCCAGGGTGCGCCCGAAGCATGCCAGGAGGGCCCGAGAGCCAGAAGTCGGCGAGAGACCCCGGGACCCGTCTCCCTCGGGACTCGCTACCTCCACGGCGACTCACGCTGGCCTTCCTCCGTCTTCTTCTGCTCCTCCTGGCACTCCTCCTGGTTCGGGGATGGACAGACCCCCCTTTAGCAAAACGTGGTTTGGTGAAAACGACCTGAGGCCCAAACCTGGCGGGCGCAAGCCTGGAAAATAACGGCCCCGGCGCCCTCTCGAGAACCGAAAACGGACAATTCACTGATCGACGTGTCACTGTTGGGGGTTCTGTCCACCCCCGACTGGTCCTCATCCTGGCCATGCTCGTCCTTTTCGTGCTGCGCCCTGTCCCTGCCTGCGGCTCTCGCTGCTGCGCCTCCACAGCGGAGGGCCGCGCCGGAAGACCTCTGGCAGCGGACGCTCACGAACTCTCCGCGACCCACTGGCAGCGCTCCCCGCGCCCCCTCACCGCAGCCTCTCCTCCTTTAGGACGACGTCGGGAAGAAGAACAACCTCCTCCTCCTTCTCCTCCTCCTCCTCTCCTCCTCCTCCTCCTCCTCCTCCTCCTCCTCCTCCTCCTCCTCCTCTCCTCCTCCTCCTCCTCCTCCTCCTCCTCCTCCTCCTCCTCCTCCTCTGGCGGAACTGGAGAATGCATTGGGCGCCGCGGTCGCTGCAGAGCCTTCTGGAACGGTCTTGGAGCGCTCCCGAGGGCTCTGGAGCCACTCATCTTCGCCCTGCGCCTGCCTCGTCCTCCTCGAGGGCGGATGCTGGGGATGCTTTCTCTTGCTGACTGCTCTGGTAAGAAGAGAGAAACCGCCATACACATAAGCTTTTGGCGCTCCGCGCGAAATTTCTTGGATCTGCGCTGGACCCACCCCCCCTCCCTGGCGCGCTGCGCGCCAGGGGCGGCGCCGGAAACGCCGCTGGAGGGGGGGCCAAGCGAGATCCGAGAAAATCTGCGCGGAGCGCCAAAAGCTTATGCTTATGGCGTTTTTTTTCTCATTCGATCTGGGCCCCCAAGGGCCTCTGGGACGCTTAGTGGGCCCTGGAAACGGCAAGGCCGTTTTTTACCGGTTCCGTTTTGCCGTTATTTTGCCGGTTCCGACGCCGTTTTTGTTACCGGTTCCGGCGCCGTTTGTTGACCAGTTCCGGCTCTGGTTCCAATCCTGGAGCCGTTTTTCCACCGTTTCCGGTCGCCGTCTTTTTCGCCGCTCCCATTTTCAAGGGACATTTTTGCGGTGAAAAAGCGGCCCTGCCGTTTCTGGGGCCCACAAAGCTGGGAGGCCCCGAGAGGACTCCAGGCCAGGGACCTCCAGACACCTCGCGGGGCGGCCCGCGAGCTGCCATCCTCCGCACCCCTTCCTCATCGCCACGCGGGCCCCTGCCTCCTCGGTTTCATGCCTGCCTCTCCTCTCTTGCACCCTGCCCTCTCGCGTTTCCGTAGCTTTCTTCTTTCCATTCCAGGAAAAGAAAAAGAAGAAGAAGAAGAAGAAGAAGAGGAGGAAGAAGAAGAAAAATAATAATAACAAGAAAAGGAAGAAGAAGCAGAACAAGAAGAAACGCCATAAACCTGAACTTGTGGCGCTCCGCGCGGAGCGCCAACGGTCTACGTTTATGGCGTTTTTTCTTCGACAGTCCCCGCACGTCCCGCCGAATCCCACCAGCCCTTTGGGCGTGAGTGGTTTAGAGAGCCCGCTCTGTCCTCAACCCCCCTTCTTCCCCTTCGGGGAGGGGTTTACCCCTCCCCCTACCCCCTCCCCCTGGGCCTGGAGAGGGGGTTCCGCGGGTCGTTGGAGGGGTCTTTTCCGACTCCTGGGAGGGCTAAAAAACGACGACCTTCCTGAGGATTCTGGCCCCGACGGGGAGAGGGAGTTAGGCCCCTCTGCTCTTCTTCGAAGCCACAATTCCCTACATCCTGAGTGGGGTTCTTGTTTTCCCAGAACACCCTCTCCTTCCCACCCACCTCCCGCTCCATCTTCCATACGCCCATACGCCTGAGCGAGGAGGGCATCCGCAAACCATACTATTTACATGGTTTCGTGCCCCTCCCACCCTTCCAGGGAGGCCCCGCCTGAGCGAGGAGGGCATCCGCAAAATATACTATTTACATGGTTTCGTGCCCCTCCCACCCTTCCAGGGAGGCCCCGCCTGAGCGAGGAGGGTATCCGCAAACCATACTATTTACATGGTTTCGTGCCCCTCCCACCCTTCCAGGGAGGCCCCGCCTGAACGAGGAGGGTATCCGCAAACCATACTATTTACATGGTTTCGTGCCCCTCCCACCCTTCCAGGGAGGCCCCGCCTGAGCGAGGAGGGTATCGGAAAACCATACTATTTACATGGTTTCGTGCCCCTCCCACCCTCCAGGGAGGCCCCGCCTGAGCGAGGAGGGTATGGTTTCTACTATTACATGGTTTCGTGCCCCTCCCACCCTTCCAGGGAGGCCTGAGCGAGGAGGGTATCTACTATTTACATGGTTTCGTGCCCCTCCCACCCCTCCAGGGAGGCCCCGCCTGAGCGAGGAGGGTATCCGCAAACCATACTATTTACATGGTTTCGTGCCCCTCCCACCTTCCAGGGAGGCCCCGCCTGAGCGAGGAGGGTATCCGCAAACCATACTATTTACATGGTTTCGTGCCCCTCCCACCCTTCCAGGGAGGCCCCGCCTGAGCGAGGAGGGTATCCGCAAACCATACTATTTACATGGTTTCGTGCCCCTCCCACCCTTCCAGGGAGGCCCCGCCTGAGCGAGGAGGGTATCCGCAAACCATACTATTTACATGGTTTCGTGCCCCTCCCACCCTTCCAGGGAGACCTCGCCTGAGCGAGGACGGTATCCGCAAACCAAACTATTTAAATTGGTTTCGTGCCCCTCCCACCCTTCCAGGGAGGCCCCGCCTGAGCGAGGAAGGTATCCGCAAACCATACTATTTACATGGTTTCGTGCCCCTCCCACCCTTCCAGGGAGGCCCCGCCTGAGCGAGGAGGGTATCCGCAAACCATAATATTTACATGGTTTCGTGCCCCTCCCACCCTTCCAGGGAAGCCCCGCCTGAGCGAGGAGGGTATCCGCAAACCATACTATTTACATGGTTTCGTGCCCCTCCCACCCTTCCAAGGAGGCCCGCCTGAGCGAGGAGGGTATCCGCAAACCATACTATTTACATGGTTTCGTGCCCCTCCCACCCTTCCAGGGAGGCCCCGCCTGAGCGAGGAGGGTATCCGAAAACCATATTATTTACATGGTTTCGTGCCCCTCCCACCCCTTCCAGCGGGGCCCCGCCAAAGCGAGGAGGGCATCAAGAAAATGTGTCCCACGAAGCCGTTAAGCTCTTTATGTGGGGAACTCCGTTAGCATAATCATTGATGTTGCTAAGGTTTTGGCACCATTTTGGCCTCCTGCGGGGGCCGCGCTCATCTACCTTCATAGCAAACTCATTCATTTTACATAAAGGTTTTGGCCTCAATTTGTCCTTTTCAGGGGGCAGCTCTCATATGCGCTTCTGAGGAGGTCGCAAGAGGCCCCACGATGGCCCCAAGAGGCCACGAGGAGGCTCCCAAGAGGCCTCCAAGAGGCCCCCCAGAGGCCTCCAAGCGGTCCCAAGAGGCCCCCAAGAGGCCCCCAAGAGGCCCCCAAGAGGCCTCAAGAGGGCCCAAGAGGCCCCCAAGAGGCCCCCCAGAGGCACCCAAGAGGCCCCCAAGAGGCCCCCAAGACGCCCCAAAAGGGGACGAGGTGCCCGAACGCCTCACGCCACGAGGAGCCCGAACGACTGACACCAGGACGAGGGGCCCAAACGACTCACACCACGAGGAGCCCGAACGACTTACACCAGAATGAGGCGCCCGAACGACTCACAGCAGGAGGAGGCGCCCGACCGACTCACACCACGAGGAGCCCGAACGACTCACACCACGACGAGGGCCCCGAACGACTCACACCACGAGGAGCCCGAAGGAGTCACAGCAGGAGGAGGCGCCCGAACGACTCACACCACGAAGAGCCCGAACGACTCACACCACAAGGAGGGGCCCGAACGACTCACACCAGGACGAGGCGCCCGAACGACTCACACCACGAGGAGCCCGAACGACTCACACCACGACGCGGGCCCCGAACGACTCACACCACGAGGAGCCCGAACGAGTCACACCAGGAGGAGGGGCCCGAACGACTCACACCAGGATGAGGGGCCCGAACAACTCACACCACGAGAAGCCCGAACGACTCACACCAGGACGAAGAGCCCGAACGACTCACACCACGAAGAGCCCGAACGACTCACACCAGGAAGAAGGGCCCGAACGACTCACACCAGGACGAGAAACCCCAAACGACTCAAATCACGAGGAGCGTTTTCTCTCCCTCCTCCTCCGCCTCGTCCTTCTCCCGCTCCCCCCACAAGGAGGATGTACAAGGAGGCGGGAGGAAGGAGGAACAGGGGAGATATGCGGGGCCAAGCGGACACACGCCTGAAAAACACGACTGTCGGCATGCTTCTCAAGAGTTGCTGCTGTGAGATGGGCTGGTGGGGATACGCGAAGCGTAAAGAATGTCCTTCTTCCCTCTCCGCCCTCTTCCCCTTTCCCCTGCCCACACCCGGTACCGTCCTCGAGGAAATCCCACGGCCAGCCCTGCCACTGCAGCTGCCACCGCACGCTCACCACAGTGAAAGCAAGGCGTAACAGATGTGTACCTGGCATCCGTTGGAAACTGTGTTAACAACACCGGCTATCATCTGCTGAACACCGCTACGAGCATCGTTCGGTAGAACGCATCCGCCCGTCTGCTGAATCTCCCCTACCCCTGATCCCATCCCCCGTCCTCCCTCTCTTTACCGGTTCTCCATCCTCCTACGTATATCAATTCGCCCTTCACATCGAACTTCTCATTCTCTTCCTGATCATTATCCTTCTTCTTCTTCTTCTTGTTATCATTGTTCTTCTTTTACAGTAGAAACAAGCGGGTCCGAGCGGAAACGGATCCTGGACCATAGGCCTTCACCCGGGACCAGCTCGTCAGCCCGACTCAGCGGTCCTGGGGCCTGGGGACAGCCAAGGTGGTTGAAAACGGCGAAAAACAAGGCCCCTTCCCTCCACCGCGGTCTCCTTTGCTTTAGGTCGGGCGTGTCCCCTTACAGGCGGATTCTGGACGAACAACAACAAATATTCAAAACAGGTTCAACATATATCTATATATATATATATATATATATATATATATATATATATAGATCGTCCCCTGACTGTTTTTTCTACTAGTTTTGAATTTTCCTGCTGTAGAGGGACAGGCCCGACTTAACCTTTGCTCTCGACACGCTGCGAGCGCTGCCAGCTCATCGAAGACACAGTGCCCCACAGCGCGGGGCGTCACACGCGCTCGAGGGCCGAGGCGGCCTCACAGCGTGTTCGAGAAGTAGCTCGGGATGTCCACGCCGCGCAGCCTGTTGGGAGAGGGGCGGCTCGGCATGGTCAGAACGCGGAGGCGGGAAGGTCAGGAAGTCACGCCCACGGCACGTTCGTGCCGCAACGGCGTCGGCGTTGGTTTCTGACACCGCGTCAGGTTTGTGCCGATCCGAGGCCCTGCACACGTGTGCTTTCGCAGGGAGGCCCGAAGGGCCCGAGTGGCTGCTGCTACTGCTGCGGAGTCATCTTCCCCCCCGAGCGCCTTGGCCTTGTCCTTGTCCTCCTTCCCCTCGTCGTCCTCCTCGTCGTCGTCGTCGTCGTCCTCCTCCTCCTCCTCCCCCTCCTCCTCCCCCCCAGCTCCTCTTCCTCCACCGGGCCGCTGGCGCCGCGGAGTCGACACGAGACAAGGCCGGCCTCGCCGAAGTGCACGGCATGGCCATGCAAATTGAAGGGGCCCTGGGACACACAAACAAATACACACACACATTAAAGGATTCCCCATACTTTCCAACATTTTCTGGGTTTCTGTCTTCCCCCCCACTGCCCATATTTTCACATATTTTCTGGGGAATCGACGATTAATTGTGTCTGTGTGTTTTTTCTCCTCCTGACAAACATCGGGCCGCGTCGGATCATCGGAATATCCGAATCGAATCGGGTCGGCCGAAACCCATGTCGAGCAGGACGGATCGGACCGAACTCGGGCGGGCGTCCTTTGGGGAGGTGGCCGAAATGGGGGGGGGGGGAAGAGAAGGGCCCTAAAGGGGCCCTTTAGGGCCACTTTTGGAGCAAGCAGGGCCAAAATGGGCCTGAGGGGCCCTTCGGTGGTTCAAAGATGAGGTCCTGATGGATGGGGACCTCAGGATAGAAAGGGATCCAAGGGCGGCCTTGCGCTGCTTGAGGCACCTCGTCCTAGGGCCCCATCCCTAAGGACCCCATCTTTGAGCCACCTTGGCCTGTTCTTCACCGCCCATTCAGATCACCCCCCACTACCATTAGGTCGGGAATGTCCTCCTACAGGCTGATTTTGGGAGAACAATTGAAGATACTTCTCTCTTACATTTAAAGAGAGTTAATGCGCAAACAAAATAAAACAATCCAAACTAGCCAAACAACAAATCACAAGATCTTCCCCATACAATTTTTCACTATTTTGGATGATTCCTCCTGTGAAGAGACAGGCCCGACTTTACACTGCCACCCGCCCGACAAAATAGCTGAGGGGCAACGATAGGGGTGGATAGCCAAGGGCAGAGTAGAGAATCAGCTCACGTATAGATGATTTTCCCAGCGCCTCCCGGCGACGGGAGGCGCCCATGTATCGAGGAGTGGGCCTGGCGGCGGGGCCGAAACCAGCTGCATGCAGCAGATTTCGTACCCCCCCCTTCTTTGGCGGTGCGCACCAGGGGGGTGGAGGGAGGGGGGAGGGTTTCTTGAAAGGAAGCTGCTTCTTCGAAGGCGCCGGCCTTACACCTGTAGATAAGGCCCGCGCCTTCTGAGGAGCAGGGGTGCTTCTAAGAGGCCCTCCCCCCTCCCCCCCACTCGACTCCCCTCTGCGCGTGGCCGCCCTCTCCCTATCCTCGGCGGTGGACAAACCTCCCTTTAGTAAACCTCCCCTCAGTGAAAGCGGCCTGGGACCGAAAACGACGCACCTGGACCCGCAAAACTGACAGCCGCGACGCCCTCTCGCGAACCGAAAACGGCCAATTCCTTAATCGACGTGTCAGGGTAGGAGGTCTGTCGGCCCTCCTTCCCACCCACCCCCGTCCCTCACCCTCCCGCCCCCGCCCTCCCCGGTCCTCAAAACCCCCGGGCTAACGCTCCCCCCTTCGACCTCTGCCCCTTCGACCCCCATTCCCACCTCCTCCTCCTCCTCCTCCTCCTCCTCCTCCTCCTCCTCCTCCTCCTCCTCCTCCTCCTCCTCCTCCTCCCCCTCCTCCCCCGACATCCCCCCTCTCCGCTCGGCCCGACAGCACCCGCACCCGCAGGCATAGGCCCAGCCAGGACTCCTGCTGGCGTGGGGCCCGCGCCGCCCAGACCGGTGCGGCATGCTGCGCAGCACCTCTCGGGGGGTCTGCCGGCCCGGGCCGATGCCAGCCCGGGTCGGTCAGGCCTTGCAGGGCCCTGCAAGGTTCTATCGGGGAGACGTAAGACCTGGGTACAGGGGACTCGGAAATCCCCGACGAGGTCGTCAAAAAAATGACGAGGCCGAGCCTGCATTTTGACGAGGCCTCCCGCTGCAGACATCCCACGAAACTCCTCCTCGTCAAAATCCGAGGCGCGCTCGTCAAAAAACGATGGTGAACCCGAGTCCTGGCAAACCCGGGTCTTACGCTCTCCCGATTCTAGGGAGAGAAACAAAAAAATCCATGCACATAAACTTTCGGCGCCCCGCGCGGACTTCTTGGGTCCGCGCTGGACCCCCCTTCCCCGGCGCGCTCCGCGCGCCAGCGGCGCCGGCGGCGCCTCCGGGGGTGGCCCAGCGAGGATCCAAGAGATCCGCGCGGAGCGCCAAAAGTTAATGCTTATGGCGCATGTCCTTCTTCGAAAGGTCCTGCAGGATCCTGCACGCAAGCCCGCGTCAAAGCACCCCTGGCTCTGCAGGATCCTGCAGAATCTGGCCCTCTGGCTGGCCCCCGTTTCGACTGACCCCCGTCTCTTGAGCCCCCAACACCCCCGTCGGCGGCCACGCCGGCCTCAGCATCTGCTGCGCGGCGTCCATGGTCGCCTGATCGGTGCCGACCAAGCCCATGGACTGCCGGGCGTCTTTTTCGGGTCTCGCCGCGCCCCGACAGCACGAAAATCATGACATGACGAGGGCATGGGCAACGACGGCGACGACAAAGAGGGGAGGCGCAAGCAGGAGGCGGAGGACGACGAAAACGAGTACGATGAGACTGGCGGGGAAGCGGTGGAAGGAGAGGAGTGAGAAGAAGTCGGGTAAGGAGGACGGGAAGCAGCATCAGTATGAGGAAGGGTCAGGTGGGCGAGGCGGAGGAGGCGCAGAAAGCCGAAACGGTGAATCAGGATGATAAGCAGCCGCAGCAGGAGTAGCAGCAGCATGGCGATTGCGACGACGACTACGATGGACGACGAAGGGGATAACACAGGTTTGGGAAACGGACGCGGAGAGGAGGGAAACAGGGTCCTGGGGTCCTGGAACCCAGAGCTTTCCCCAGGCACCAGCGATTCATCCTCAGCAGTGTTGGGGCCTCTGGGAGGTCCCTGGGTGCCTGGAGGTAGCGGGATCCCTCTCCTTCAGGGAAAGGAAGGAAGAACGAGCCGGCCAGACCGAGCGTGTCCTGGTTGTGGAACTCGACGTAGAGCCTGTCAACGAGCGGCGCAGTGGGCGACAGAGCGAGGCACGGGAGGATGTCCCACTCCGCCCCCTCGATGTCCATCTTGACCATCACCCAGTCCTCGAACGGGGGGATGGCACAGCACAGGAAGAGGAGACGCCCCTCAGTGTTTCTGGCAGAAGATCCTCGCACGAACCTCTCGAGGGCGCGGGCGTGCAGTCTGGGATGCACGGGCGTCTAGCGAAACCCATCGTCATGCGTGTCGCTGGCGCTGCGGCAAGTAAAAGACCCACCATCCACCAATCCGACTACCTACCGATCCACCCCAACCCAACCCGAAGACCCGAATCCCACCAGCCCTTTCGGGCGTAGGTGGTTTAAGGCGCTTCCCATATTTAGCGCCGCCCGTGCACCGAGGACGTCGGAACGAACACACATCTGGCCATGGACCGCGCCGCAACGCCGACGCATCGGTGGCGTGACCCTCAAGCATCTGTACACGGGGACTTTGGTTGCCCAAGACGCTGGCACTCCCAAGAGAGCGGCAGCCGTGAACCGAAACACTCTCCAACGACGTGCTGTCGACCAGACCTGCAAGGTGGGTCCTTTCTGCTTCCCTGTGCGCGCCAGCTTCGGCTTCGGTTCCAGCTGTGGATGCACCGTGGAGCGCCTTCGGGCCAACTCACCCGAGTCGGTGATCTACTCACCTGGGTGCCCCGCGCGCGTTCCCCAATGGGTTCCTGGCACTACCCCAAAATTGCGATGCCCTAGATTCCGGGGCTTCTGGGCTCGACCCCATCCGCCCCCCGCTGGTCCCAGTTCGGGCGGCCCCCGCACAGGTAGAGGAACAACCGACGGCATAAACAGACACTTTCGGAGGTCCGCACGGATGTCTCGGACCGGTGCTGGACTCCACCTCCCAAGCACGCGGAGCGCGCCAACGGCGGCGCCGAAAGCGCCGCCGTTGGGGGCATGGGCGCCGATCGCAGAAAAAAACGCGGGTCTTCCACAAGTTTGTGTACATGAATTGTCACTCTCCGACGACGGGTGACGCCGCCTCATGCCTCGGAATTGGCTCCAGCAGGCACCTGGGAGGAGGAGGAGGAGGAGGAGGAGGAGGAGGAGGAGGAGGAGGAGGAGGAGGAGGAGGAGGAGGAGGAGGAGGAGGAAAAGGAGGAAGAGGAGGAGGATGAGGAACGGGAGCAGGAGGAGGAAAAATAGGAGGAGGAAAATAAATAGGAGGAGCAGGAGGAGGAGGAAGAAAAGCAGGAGGTGGAGGATCAGGAGGAGGTCAGGAAAGGACAGGACATCTGCACGAGGGGGTCAGCGTCGAATCGCCCATGGAGGAGCCGTGGGGTACGATGTGCACCTCCCCTGCGATATTTATTGTGCTCGGGCCCACACTTCGCATGGGGGCAGGGGGCGTACCCCAGGCTCTACGGGGGCCGGCCCTGAAGCATGCCCCGTCAGAGAGGCTCGCTGAAAAAAAGGAGAACAACAAAAAAAAAAAACGAGCCCCTACGGGACAGTGCGGGTGGAGAAGCTGCTGGCCTGTTCGCGTGCCCGCTCTGGGGGACGCGCTGGCGAACAGGGTTCCCGAGCAGAGGGGGTCTAATGTGTGCGCCAAACTGCACTCCGAGATGCCCTCGCTAGCGCGTTCAGCTCTCACTGCGCCGAGACAGATGGTTCCCGCACCAAGCGCGCTTAGGAATGCACAGCCCCTGCTCTCTTTGGCCCCTGCAATGGCACAACAACTACTACAACAGAAAATCTAGGAGACGCGCGGTACATGTATAAGATTTGTACGACATCAACGCGCTCAATGGACCCTCTGCGCTTTCCAATACTAACAGAGCGTAATCTTCACGGGGTAGCTGTTGTGCTCTTGTCTCACCTCTAATGTTTTCCCATTCCGAGAGAGCGACTTCCACTTCTGGGAACATGCGAACTGTGCCGCTGGTAGCAAATTGGTACCGTACTTGTTTACACAGAAAAAAGGTGGCCACTACAGTTCCACATACTGTGATACATGTTTTCCTAGGTGTGTCCTTTGCGCTTCTCATTGAAGTAAGCCTCCTCCTCCTCCTCCTCCTCCTATTCGATCATCTCTCCGCGCGAGTCCATCCATTGTCTCTGAAAGAGGTCCTCTGCCTGAGAGATTGGTTCGTCTTTTACTTCGTCGAAGAGCCTGCCTTCTAATGGATCCGGCGGCTGGCCCACCAGATTCCAAGTGGGTTGTCGAGGTTCGTCATCGGCAGAAGCCAATGACCTCCGAGCCCATGGGCCTCCATCTTCCCTCTCTGTCGCCTGCATTCGTCTGCGCCTCGGTCACGAGGCTCTCTCTGCGCGTCTGGCGCTGCAGCGCTCCAACTCGGCACCTCCCAAACCGACTCGAGCACAACGACCCCCTCCAGGGGGGAGCAGGTGACCACGCTCGTCCAGCCTCAGACTGTTGTCCTCCGACAGAATGGGCATGGGTTTTCGACGTTCATCGCGGGCGAAGGCCAATGGCCTCTGAACCTCGGCGCCTCCATCTTCTATTTGGCTTTTGTCGCCCAACTTATCTCGCCGACGGGCAAATGAATGAAGAGCTGGATCAATAGTGTTCCACTGACGCAACAGATCTTCGAACTCGGGTGCCAGCTTTTCCACAAGAGCCGTTCTCTGCTTCTTTCTCTCCTCCTTGCATCAGGGTCACACTCCCATCTTCCATCGGAAGGTTGGGTTGATGCGGCACATGTAATTTCCATCACCGGAAGAGCGGGGGTCAATGGGTTTTTGAAGTTCCTCATCGGTCGCAGCCGATGACCTCCGAACCGCAGGGCCTCCATCCCCCCTCGAACCGTTGTCGCCCATCGTCGCGCGCCGGCGGACACATGAATGCAAAGCAGGCCCACTTCGATTCCATTGGAGCAATTGTTCTTCAATCTCCTGGTGCAGCTGTTCCCAAAGATCCGAGTCGTTTATCGGTTTTCGAAGTTGTTCACTGGCACCCTCCAGTTGCCTCCGAATCCCGGGGCCTCCATCTTCCCTCTGGCAGCTGCTGTCCAGCGATGGCATTTGATCAACCAATTGCTCGCACATGGCAATCCTGGCAATCTGGCACTTCCGAGCGCGAGCGTGAGTCCGGCGGATCCGTTCTCTGCGTCTTTGGCTCGTCGTTTTCTTCTGAAGGTCACACTCCAATCCTCCATAGACATTTGGAAAATTGCGGCACAACCAAATTCCATCACCAGAGTACGACCCTGTCACGCGAAAAAAAGTAGCAAAAGGTACGGTATCGTAATAGCTGCAGGGATTGTTTTGATTCTTCTTTATTTTCCTCCTCCCCCCTACTCCTTCTCTGGCCCGAGAACGGAGAATGTATGGGGAGGAAGTCGTGTAAGTGAGTGTCAATGAAAGTCCTCACTCCGTCGCGGCTCAAAGTGCCAGCTCCAACGCCGACTAGCAGGAGGAGGAGGAGGAAGGAAGGAGGAGCAGGAGGTGGACGAGCAGGAGGACGAGGAGGTTCTTACGCCAAGGGGGGATCGCCCAGCGGCCTGCGCAAGACAAGGAGGACGAGAGGAGGAGGAGGAGGAGGAGGAGGAGGAGGAGGAGCAGGAGCAGAAGGAAGAGCAGGAGGAGGAGCAGGAGGAACAGCAAGAGGAGGAGGAGGAGGAGGAGGAGGAGGAGGAGGAACAGGAGGAGGAGCAGGAGCAGGAGGAGGAGCTGGAGGAAGAGAAGGAGCAGGAGCTGGAGGAGGAGCCGGAGGAACTCGCTGAGGCCAGACGCCCCGCGCAGGGGCTAGCGCTCGCGCTCGGGCAGCCTGCGCGCGGCGGGCGTCCGGGGTGCGGGCCTCCGCCGCCCGTCCTGGCCCCTCGCCCCCCGCCTTTCCAGCTACGTCCCCTCTCGAAGGAGGGACAAAAACACACAGACACACTTAATCGTCGATTCCCCTGAAAATATGGGAAAATATGGGGAGTGGGGGGGAGACAAAAATCCCCAAAATATGGGAACATATGGGGAATCCTTTTCTTTGTGTCTATCTATTTGTGTGTCCCAGGGCCCCTTCACTCTCGTGCTGCATGCAGAAAGCGAATCGCATTCTCGCAGACAGGGCTGCTCAGATACATCGGCAAGATGCACATCACCATGCAGATGCACAGTTTGAATCTCTGCTCGTCCACTCCCCCCTCCCCCCGCCTCCTCCGCCTGCAGCTGCCAGTCGTGACTCTGGCCTTCCCCTTGCGGCCCGCCGCCCTCGCCCCAGCGAGGTCCGCCGGGATCGTGTTCTCGTAGAGGACCTGCATGAGATTGACCATGGGCACGGTGACCTCAGAAAGCCGGGCGCAAACTGGGCGCGCTCGCTTTGGACGCCCGAAATGGGTACCGAAAAAATGGGTACTATGCCCAACAGCAAATGTTGTCCCAAACCAACAGCGGCCGCTGTTGGGCGGGCGGCCTCCTGTCTCGAATGGACACAAGCCGCGGCGGCGTGGACAGCGGATCTTGTTCAAAATGAACAAGATCCGCTGTTGGGCATAGTACCCATTCTTTCAGTACCCATTTCGGGCGTCCAGACTCGCGTCAGATCCGACATCCTACCCCTCCCACCAACCCCTCCCCGGCTGAGCTGATTTGTCCTCTGTCTCCGCGCACGGAACGTAGCGAGCCTGGAATTCCCAAAAAGGAGCCCCTCGTGTTTTGCGCTATCGGAAAAATGGAGCTGCGTACAGTGGAAGAGGTGGCGGGTGAGCATGAGGATCATTTGGAAAGGAAGGAAGACGAGGACGAACAGCAGCAGGAGCTGGAGTGGAAGGACGAGGAGGCACAGGAGGACCAGAAGGCGGAGGAGGGAAAAGGAACGGGGAGAGGACGATGAGGAAGGACTCGGATACAGAAAATGAGACGAAACCAGGACAGTTATCCGCCGGCCCCCTTGTGGGGCCACCAGGCTGTAGGCCCGTGATTCGCAGTTTCCTGTACCAGTCGTAGGTTGTAGTTTCCAGTGTTACAGTTCTGCTTCTTGCTGGTTACTGTAACTAGTTGACTTATTGCTGGTTACTGTAACTAGTTGATTGACCGCGCGAGGGGGGTGGAGGCCCAAAGTGGCTTTTTAGCGTCCCCTGGGCGCGTTGTCTGAATTGCTGGGGGGGCTCGAAATCCACACCCCTCACGCAGATCCGCGGGGTCAGGGTCCAAAAACACAAGGGATTTGCCACATTTCTGAAATTCGGTGCCACCCCTCACGCAGATCCGCGGGGTCAGGGTCCAAAAACACAGGGATTTGCCACATTTCTGAAATTCGGTGCCACCCCTCACGCAGATCCGCGGGGTCAGGGTCCAAAAACACATGGGATTTGCCACATTTCTGAAATTCGGTGCCACCCCTCACGCAGATCCGCGGGGTCAGGGTCCAAAAACACAGGGGATTTGCCACATTTCTGAAATTCGGTGCCACCCCTCACGCAGATCCGCGGGGTCAGGGTCCAAAAACACATGGGATTTGCCACATTTCTGAAATTCGGTGCCACCCCTCACGCAGATCCGCGGGGTCAGGGTCCAAAAACACAAGGGATTTGCCACATTTCTGAAATTCGGTGCCACCCCTCACGCAGATCCGCGGGGTCAGGGTCCAAAAACACAGGGGATTTGCCACATTTCTGAAATTCGGTGCCACCCCTCACGCAGATCACAGGGTCCTTTACCACATTTCTGAAATTCGGCGCCACCCCTTACGCAGATCCGCGGGGTCAGGATCCAAAAACACAGTGGATTTGCCACATTTCTGAAATTCGGTGCCACCCTTCACGCACATCCATCGCAAGGCGTGGTAACACAAACTGCGAGAACTCCCTCGGCCCTTTAATCGCAAGGTGTGGTAACCAAGCCCGTAAACCATACACGTCTTACCAATCGCCAGGTGTGGTAACCCCTCTTGTGATCAGCTGGTTTTGCTGATTGCGAATCGGCTACGCATGAAGTTTCGATACTGCTTCACGACAGCGTCAAGGCCTCATGACTTAGCTCTTCCATGGCCCATTCTCCGAGAGAGGGGGCCGGCGGCAGGGGGCGAAGCCCTTACAGATAACTTTGGACAGGGATACATGGGGAATCCCTGAGATCCGGCGGTTCTGGAGGATGCATCGGGCGCGGCGGCCTTCTTAGAGCGTTCCCGAGAGCGTCCTGGCACGCTCAGGAACCAATGGTTGTCCCTGCCCTAGCCCCGCCCGAGAAAAATGGCCCGCGCTGGGACGAGAGTTAAGACGAAACTAGGACGCGGATAACATCGGGTACGGTTGAATCGGGAATCTCTGAGATCCGGCGGATCTGGGGGGTGTATTGGGCGCCGCGGTCTTCTCAGACGTTCCAGAACACACTCAGAGCGTTCCGTAACGCTCTGGTGCGGATTGATCCTCGTCCTGGTCCTAGCCCTTTTCCGAAGAGTGCCATTCTGAACGACGGGGGCAAAACGCCGATCCTGCAACGAAGCCCCGGCTGCATCGGCAACATGTTTGGAGGGACCCGCGACGCCCGGATCGTGAAGCCAAGAACGAGCTCGCCATCGCTCGGGCGTCCCTTCGCTTGTTTTTTGTTTGGGGGGGGGTCCGTGCGTTTTTTCCGCAAGATGATCCATGATGCTCCTCGATCATTCTCGCCGAGAAGAAATGCCCACGTCCGAGCGATGCCAAGGAAGGAACTGCAAACTCTTGAGATCCTGTGCAAAAGAACAGCGTGCGTGGGGAGGGCGGGGCAGCCTCCCGCGATCCTCGAGAGGGAGAAGGGCGGTACTCCTGCGGAGTGATCTTCGAGCAGCTGTGGGCAGGGAAGGGGGCGGGGAAAACGAGGGGAGGACAGGACTCGACCAAAACAGTGTTGTTCGTTCTCGGTTTGTGTTCGTTGTGTCCCGCGTGTTGTCTTGAATCCACCTGGCTGCAAAACAGAGTCGAAACGAAAACGGCACACGGAATCGCTAAAACACCGTTTAGGTCGATTCCTGGGAGGAACATGACGTTGAGAAGGAGGGCAGGGAAGGGCGAAGCGAATCAGACGGAACAGGGCGGCGAGGACTGCGACGATGAGGCCGAGAACTGCGATGGCGCCGCGGGGTCATGCGAGCACGAGGTCAGTGCGTTTACAAAGCTACCCAGTGGCAATGCACCCCACAGCTGTTGCCAAGAGCTCTGGCCCCAGGGCAATGAAACTGTCCATTGGGCCTGTAACAGTGCCAAAGGCCACGCAGAGTCAACCGCAGCCGCCGCGCGCGCAGCTGGATCGTCGTCAATTGCTGGGGCGTTGGAGGCCCGCAGCTGCGACGGCAGGAATCAAGGGACACCGTGAGTTCCTCGGGGATGGAGGAAGATGGGCGGTGAAACGACCAAGCGAGCGACCGTCCATCGGGCTCTACTGCGAACAGAGCCGCGCCCAGTTGGGCGGTGTCGTAACCCAAGGGGAAAAAAACGCTAGCACGACTTCACGTCGCGGTCATCAGCTGGCTCCCCACACTCAGCTTTATTATGACATGCCGTCCGCCATGTGTGAACAGGCAGAGGCATTGATGTCACCGTGCCGTTTGTGAGCTGCCCCCCGTGCATATTGCCCTCCAAGGGATACTGCGTCGAGGATGCACGATGAACACTGCAAGACCGTACAATACTACCACATCGGAGCTCCAATAATCAACCGAACATATCGTGAAAAGTCTTGCGCTCTGCTCGGCCCAGCCTGGGGACGCAGGTGGCCTGTCATGCTGGAGCAGGGGGAGAAAGGCGGAGAAGGAGGAGGAGGAGGATGAGACGGGGGGGAGGAGGACGATGGCACCAGTCATGTGCGGCAGCAGCGCCTGCAGCTCGGATCTCCAAGCTCGAACAGGTGGGGAAGATGAACGTGGACGATGCGAGGACCGTGGGCAGCAGGAGGGTGTAGGGTGGGGGATGGGGGGAGGATGGGAGGGGGAAGGGGACCTTTTGCAGGCCGCTGTTCCTCACGTCGACCGCGTTCGCCGACAGGCTGGAACCCCAATAGTTGTGGTCACTCGTGACCGTATCGAGGCCCGCGGCCCCGCACTCCACGGGGAGGTGTCTGCACCAGCCTCGGCCCTCGTCTCCGCCACCGCCCTCGTCGTCACCGCTCTCGTCCTCCAAGCCTGTCCGCCCTCCCGGCGCTGTGTTCCTCCGCTGGTTCTCGTCACCAGCCTCACAGCAGCCCCGTCTCTGCCCCCCCCGTCCCCTGCCATCCCCTCGCACTGTTCCGCTGCCGTTGTCCCCCCTTGTGTCCCTCTCCTTCCTCCTAATGCTCCTCGCCCCTCCCCCCTCCCCCATGTCCTCCTCCTGTTCCCGCCTCCGCATCCTCCTCCCCGTTTCCTTTCCCTGCCTTTTCTCCTCTACCTGATTCCCCTCATCGCATTTACGCTTCCCTCCTTGGCGGGAAGGGGGGGGGAAGAGGAGGAAAAGGAGGATGAGGGAGGATGGAGGGAGGGAAGGAGGGATGGTGCACCGCATGCATGGGCGGCGAGCCGCACTCTTGGTGCGCGTGTGGTTGCACGGCGGGGTGGCGCATGACAAATCGTCTCCGCCACCCGCCGGGCCGGGGTCTCTGGAGACCCGCCCACGGGACAGAACACGTGGCGGGCGGAATGCGGACGGCCTGATGGCACAGCGCGCCCGTCCAGGCCTCCCGCGCGCGTTCCTGCCCGACCGCCGCTCCAACCCTGGGGCGGGCCCCGAAAAGAGAGAGGTCGGCGGCGGGGCCCGTCCCCCCGGAGCGATCCTCCCCCTGCGTCGGCGTTCCGCCTCGGCGCGGTGTTGGGTGCTCCTGGCCTCCTGGGCGGAGGTAGGGAGAAAAGCGGCGGGGGGAGGCGGAGCCGAGGGCGGAGGGGAAGAGACCAGACGCCAGGGTGCCGCCTGCTCCTCTGGGGAGTTCCAGAGTCGGCCAGCAGACTCTTGCTAGCCGTCGCCTGCGCGGCAGACGCCCCGCCGGCTCCGTCAGCGCTCTGCGCGGGCGGAACCCCTCGGTGCGAGTTCTGGGGCCGGCTGCGCCTCGCCAGCGCCGCCAGGCATCACAGGCGCCCCGTCACCGCTGGAATCGGTGTTGAGAAGACGGTGGCGCTCGGGGTCGATGCTGACCCTGCCGCCCCACTGCTTCTGGCGAGGGTCCTCAAAACCGCCAGAGCCTGGGGCGCACGGGGGGGTCTGGCTGTCACTGTCTGGTTCGTCTCGCGCCCGCGAGGCATGAAACTTCACCAGACCCTCGCGAATGTCGTGGCTGTCCTCGGGGTAGGCGCACATGTGAAACCTGGTCCTGCGTATCCAGAAGGACAGACTCAGGCCCCAGCAATAGTTCTTTTGTTGAATCTACGATGTCAGATTTCATGGCCTTGCATGAACTACCTGGGAAGGCCCGCTTCGAGGCCGCATTGTATTTTGACAGAAGAAAGCCTGCCGACGAGAGCCCAGTGCGAACGCTTCCCGCGAGAATCAAAGCCTTTGTCCAGGAGTGGCCTTCAAGAGGCCTGCCAAGCTGGGAATTCGAGCCGAAACCATAGCGGTCGGGAAACTACGTGCAACAGAGGGGTGTGCCTGCGCGGGGATGCTCAGCATATAGTCCAACTAAAACGTGTAAGAGCTGCGGCCCAATCCAGACCTGCTCCGACTGGCGCCTCGTCGCCCACGGAACCCCATCATGCTGTGTCGTCCTGAACGGCGAGGGGCCGCCCTCCTGCCACCTCGACGCCGACTGCCTTTCGAATGGCGGCCCCCCTTTCCAGCGCTAGTAACACGATGGCATCGGATATGCTCGATCCACGCGAGAATCGTCGCTGCTCGGATAAGAAGTCCACGTGCGTCGTCGAGCGCGATGTCGACGCCGAGCAGAACAAGTTTGGCCGCGGGGAGCTGCGATTGAATATTCCACATGCTACCGCGCATTTCCTGATCGGCTACGCCCGCGCCACGGGTTCACCCCGCCCAGCCCCAGCCCGCGGGGCGCGGGGGGGGGGGAGGGGGGGGGGGGGGCGCAGCTGCGGAGGGCCCCGAAGTCGGCGAACGCCGACGGCGGCCATGGCCCGATATCCTGGGGAAGCGCGCGGAAGGACTGGCCCAGGCCACGTTGCATCTCGGCGGCCGCGGACCCCGCGATGAGACTGAATGTGCTGGGTGAGACCTGGCCATCGAAACCTGCGGCTGAGCTCCGCGCGCGCCACCGAGAAATCGAACGCGAAATTCTCTGCCCGCGCAGCTGCCAGCGAGCGACGAGGCTGAGCTGCGAGACCTTGGAAGGGCATAGCCGAACACTGGGTGGGCGCCTGGAGTGGCTGTCATTTCCGCTCCAGTCCCGTCCTCGTCGCACTGCGCGTGAACCGCGCGGTGGGCATGGGGCAACTCGAGGGGTGCCGGATCGAGGAATCCTGGCCTCCATGGTATCTGGCAGGAAAAGGCCTGGTCCGCCTCATGCGCCCAGACAGGCAGTGGCCGGATGGGCGGAGCTTCTGATGGATGCGAGCCTCGATGAATCGCGTGAGAGGACGGCGGCGGCAACAGCGTGTCGCAGAGCAAGCGATGCCTGCGATTGAGCATCCTCTGTGAACTGCGAGCTCTGCGAAGCAAGCCTCAGTGCCGAATAAGCGCGGCGGTGCGGCGTTGGGCCGACTCACGGAAAGGTGGGCGGGAGGTTGGCTCCAGCTGCTGGCTGCTGTCGCTGGACTCGATATGAAGCGGAACCATAGGCAACTCACCTTGCTGGTGTTGTGAACATATTGTTTGTCAGCTGCTGTCTGGAACTGGTAGAAATAGCGTCGACTGCTCCGTCCCAGGGGCCGCCGCTGCGGCCCTCGACGCGAGTCCAATAAGCCGACCTGGCAAAGTAACTGGCGACCTTCGCTCGACTGTCTAGTTCAGACCGAAGCTGTTCAGCGGACGAGCGGAGGGCTCCTCCTTGGGCATTTCTCAAGATCTCGCCAAAGACGCAGGAGACCGCGAGGCTCGCTTCGTGCGCGAGACTGCCGCTGCGGGGCTGCAAGAACCATGCTAGCGCCCACCGGGCACCTTGTAGTCCAGCCCCAAGAGCACACGTACGATCAGGAATAGGAGGGCACCAACTATACACCAACACCGATCCTGGCCAGGATCACCCTGTGCCCAGGATCGGTGTATACGCCCTCCTGCCTTGGGCAAGAAGGCATATACACCGATCCTGGGCCCAGGGTGATCCTGGGCCAGGATCGGTGTTGGTGTATAGTTGGTGCCCTCCGAAGGAAGCTTCAAGATTCGAGGCCCGTTTCTGACCCAGGACGCGCCGAGCGGCCTCCGGGCCCCCCTGCAAGCAAGAGAGAGCCCCAAGCCGGGCCTCCTGCCATGTTGCCCACAGATCCGCCCGCGGAGATGTGGATCGCCGCCACGTCCTAAAGATCCGAGAGAGGGTTGAACCATGGCGTGTGCTGTGGCGTGGCTGAACGCCAATGCTTAGCAAGAAAACAAACTCGTTGATAGGTCCGCCCCAAGACTTGAATAACATGCAGCAGAAAGCTGATGTCTCGGGGGCGGGGACTATGTCTGCAGCCTCTGAGCGAGGCAAGTGGGGACGAGCCTGCAGCTTCGTCCTCCTGGCCCCCCCGACTCGCTGTTCGTGATTTCCTCGGCGTGGGGGGAGTGGTCACCCCGATCGCCGCCTGCGCGCTCCCCATGCTGAACACCGACTCGGGGGCTGAACCCTGGCTGGCACCAGCTGGGGCTGGGCGCTGCTCGCGGGCGTCGGCCGAAATGACCGCGCCCCCTGCGAGGGCCTCGTTGTCCTCGCTCGCCGGCGCGCAAGGGGCCCCGTCCGCTGGCGTCGACGCTCCCCCTGAGATCTGAACGGCGCCACGGACGAGAATATTCTGCTGACCTGGTAGCGCCGCTCCCGCTCGAGGCGGCGACCTGCTGCGTTCTGGGCTGTTTTTTTGGCTTGCACGAGGTCCAGCGCGACGGCTTCCCTCGCCTTCTGGGCCGTCTCCAGCGCGATCTCCGCGTCGCCGTCTGTCTGGTGCGCCTCCTCGAGACGTTTCGTGGCCCTGCCGATGTAGCTGGTCTGGTTGGCGACCCGCTCCTTGTGCGGGCACGCGCACGAGTGCATGACATTTGGATGCGGTGCTCCCTCGTGGCCTCTCTCAGGATGGCCGCGCCCGAGCCGGCCGCAACCTGCGCCTCGATCTCTCCGTCGAGCGCCGGCGTGGCGTCCCGGAGGTGCGCTCGAGGCTCCTCGGGCTCGGCCGCTCCTGCCGGAGCTCCACCCCGAGCCCGTGTGCTTTTGCGCGTGCCCGGGCTTCCTGGAGCGTGGCGACGGCCACTGGCGAAGCCTGCGATGAGGCTCTGCCGAGCTGCACGCGGCGCCCGGTCCTGGGGCCTCGCCGCCGGCTCCGAACGCTCGGCGCCTCTGGATGTTGGGGTGGGCTCCAGCCCGCTGGGGCGCCTTCGCGTCCTTGGCGTCCCCGATGGGGTAGCACTTTGCACACCACGCCGAGGATGCGAGCTGCTCGGCGCCATGACGTGAGCAGCACCGCGAAGACTGGGACGAGCTCTGGCCCCCGGTGGCCCCGATGCTGCTGCGGCGTGCTGCGAGGAGGTGTCGCGCGGCGGCGGCACGTGGAAGAGATCGCGCTGACGACCCGCTTGCCCTGGCTCGACGCTGCCAGGCTGGTTCTGACTTGCGGCGTGTGTGGGGTAAAACAGGGCTAGGATCGGGATACATCGCTCCAGAGCGTTCCGGAGCGCTCTCAGAGCGCTCCGGCACGCTCTGGGAGCGGCCGCGGCGCCCAATAACGTCCTCCAAGCCCGCCGATGCTCAGAGATCTCGAGCTATCCCGATCCGATTTTGTCCCGATCTTCGCGTCGTTTTACCCTCCCCTCGAGCTGCTGCTCCCGCCGCGAGATCTGCGCGGCCAGGATCGCCGCGCGCGGCCGCGGCCGCTCCGCCAAAGTTGGCGGCGCGCAAAAGGGGGTAGGGGGAGGGGGGAAGGCCTCTTAGAAGCACCCCTGCTTCTTAGAAGGCCCCAGCCTTACGTCTTCAGAGAAGGTTATCCCGATCCGATTTTGTCCCGACCTTCGCGTCGTTTTGTGGGGCGCCGCGGCGCGCGCCGGCGCGCCACGGCACGGCCGGCCCGCGGCCGCTCTCGCGGGGGGCAGCGCGTCGGAGGCCGCCCGTCCCGGGGAGGCGCACGGGCCCAGGGCCACGCTCCCGACGGCTCGAAGCGATGGGGGCGGGGGGGCTGGGCAGGGGGGGGGGGGGCGAGGGGGGGGAGGAGGGGAGGGAGGGAGAGGGGGGAGGGAGAGGGGGGGGGCGAGGGGGGGGGAGGGGAGAGGGAGGAGAGAGGGGGAGGGAGAGGGGGGGAGGGGGGGCGAGGGGGGGCAAGGGGGGGGGGGGGGAGAGGGAGGGCGAGGGGGAGGGAGAGGGGAGGGAGAGAGGAGGAGAGAGACGAGAGAGGCGAGATGGGGGGGGGAGAGGGGGGGACTGCCAAGCTGGGCTCGCTGGCGCAACATCCGGCATCCTGTCCCTTCTTCCCATCCTTTTTCCCACTGCACCATGTTGCTCTCTGTGCGCCAACGGGTGTAATAGCGGACCTGGAGCACCCAAAAGAACCGCGCCAATCTGAAAATGTGAGCTGCGTGCATAGGAGGAAGAGGTGGCGGATGAGCAGGAGAAAGAAGGACGAGGAACTGCAGCAGCAAGAGGAGGACGAGGAGGAGCTGCAGCAGCAGGAGGAGCGGGATGAGCAAAACCAAATACGAGGAAACACGCGCGGGGGCGACAGCGCCATTCGTAACGACGGGAAGGCAACACCAATCCCAACACGAGGCCAACGCTGAAGCAACAACCGCATCTCGGAAGGAGTGGGAACGTTCCGATTGGAAGAGAAACCTTAGCGGACCCATCCGGCGTACAATTAGCCTGGCGAAGGACCCAACCAGATGCAGTTGTTCATAACAGTTGTGGGTATCGTCTTCGATGGACCTCCATATGGGCCTCGAAACGCTGCACTGGCTGGGAGAGCCGCGTGCGAGCTTTGCCACTCGGGCCTTCGGTGGGCTTCACTCTAGCCCACGGAACGTTGTAATGCTGCCTTTGCCACTGGGGCCTTCCGTGGAGCTGGGCCACGAAACGCTGTGCTGGGTGGGGGAGGCGCATGTGGAGTTTGACACTGGGGCCTTCGATGGAGCCCCCTATGGCCACGAAACGTTGTCTTGGTTGGGGGAGACGCATGCGAACTTTGCCACTCCACCGAAGCTCCCCTTGGGCCACGAAACGCTGTACTGGGTGGGGGAGCCTTCGGTGGAGCCCTCCATGAGCCACGAAACGCTGTACTGCGCGGAGGAGGCGCATGTGGACTTTGCCACTGGGGCCTTCGGTGGAGCCCCCTATGGGCCACTAACCGCTGTCTTGGTTGGGGGAGTCGCATGTGGACCCTGCCACTGAGGCCACTTCTGGAGCTCCCTATGAGCAGCGAAACGTTGTACTGGCTGCTTGAGCCGCGTGCGACCTTTGCCACTAGGGCCTTCGGTGGGGTTCTTTCTGAGCCACGGAACGCTGTGCTGGTGGGGCAGACGCGTGTGGACTTTGCCACTGGGACATTTGATGGAGCTCCCTGTGGCTCGCCAAACGCTGTGCTGGGATGCTCGGTGGGGGAGACGCATGCAAACTTTGCCACTGTGGCCTTCGGTGGAGCTCCCTATGGGCAACTAAACGCCGTAATGGGGGGGGGGAGGTGCACTCGGACTTTGCCACTGGGGCCGTCTGTGGAGCTCCCTATGGGCCTTGAAACGCTGTACTGGGTGGGTGCGGGGGGCGCATGCGGACTTTGCCACTGGGGCCTTCGGTGGAGCTCCCTATGTGGCCACGAAGCGCCGTACTGGGTGGGGGAGGCGCATGCTGCCTTTGCAACAGGGGCCGTCTGCTGTGGAGCTCCCTATGGGCCTCGAAACGCTAAGGTCGGGAAGACGCATCTGCACTTTAACGCTAGGGCCTTCGGTGGAGCTTCCTATGGGCCACGAAACGCTGCCTTGGCTGGGGATTGCGCATGTGGACTTTGCCAGTGGGGCCTTCGGTGGAGCCCCCTCTGGGGCTACGAAACGCTGTACTGGGTGCGGGAGACGCGTGTGGACTTTGCCACTGGGTCCTTCGATGGAGTATCCCATGGGCCACGAAACGTTATCTTGGTTGGGGGATTGCGCATGTGGACTTTGCTACTGGGGCCTTCGGTGGAGCCCCCTCTGGGGCTACGAAACGCTGTACTGGGTGCGGGAGACGCGTGTGGACTTTGCCACTGGGTCCTTCGATGGAGTATCCCATGGGCCACGAAACGATATCTTGGTTGGGGGATTGCGCATGTGGACTTTGCTACTGGGGCCTTCGGTGGAGCCCCCTCTGGGGCCACGAAACGCTGTACGGGGTGGGGGAGACGCGCGTGGACTTTGCCACTGGGTCCTTCGATGGAGATTCCCATGGGCCACGAAACGCTGTCTTGGTTTGGGGAGGCGCATGTAGACTTCGCAAGTGGGGCCTTCGGTGGGGCTCCCTACGGGGCCACGAAGCGTGCGAGGGGTGTACCGAACAGGTTGACGTGCGGAGAGCAGAGGCAAGGACGGGAGGAGGGAGGAGGGGGGAGGAGGAGTGAGGAGCGAGGAGCGCGGGGCGCCGTCTCTTCAAACCGGGGACCCACCACCACAGGATTGTCGGGACAGAAGCAATACGTGGAGGGGAGCGCGCTGATCTCAGCACGTCTTCGGGGGAGCATAAGTTGGCTTGAAGGCGGCCCACGATGCCCAGAAGAGGGTTCACGAGTGCTTCCCGAGGACCGCCCAAAGGGCCCTAAGAGGCAACAATCGCTCCCTTTACGACAGCGTACATTTTCAGCACACTCGCCCTTTTCGTATTGGCGGCCTCCTAGACGGCCAATGGGCCCCAAAGATCGTCCAACGACTGCCCAAAAGAGCGCCAAGAGGGCGGAGGCTCCAGGAGACCCCCAGAAGCCTCCAAGGCGCCCCTAGAAGCTCCACGAGGCTCCCAAGAAGCCCCGAAGGGGTGGCCCTGAAGAAGCCCTGACCCCCCCCCAAGAGCATTCCAAGAGGCCCAACCTGGGGGGTCGGCGAAATGGCGTAAGTGATTTGAGTCCACGTTCGGAAGTGACGTGCTAACCGGCAGCGTTTTCTGCGGAGGCGATAATGCAACGTAGTCAATGTATCCAATCGTTGTAAACTTGCCACAGATTGTATTGGTTTACATTCTTATGTCTCCCCCCTAACCCCCCCTTGGAGTCGCGCCACTCCGTCGACACAAATGGATGCCCCCCTTCTCGGGCTCTCGAAACCCATGAAAAACCATAGGATATCGACGATTTGGGCCTCTGGGGCCTCTTGGGACTCCAAGGGGGCCTCAAGATGGCCCAAGATGGCCCCAAGACAGCCCAAGACGGCCCTGGATCGTCCCAAGAGCCCAAGAGGGCCCGTGAGGCCCCCAAGACGGCCCAAGGGGGCCCCAAGAGGACTCGAAAGAGCGCCTCCAGGAGCCAAAATCATTGATTTCCCGCTGGTTTTTGGAAGAGTTAAGCGTTCTCGCCTTTTTCGGCCTTCAGAGGACCATGACGGCCCAAGCAGCCTCCAAGAAGCCTTCAAGACTGCCAGCGAGGCCCCCAAAGGGGCCCCAGGATTGCTCAAGAGGGCCCCGAGACGGCCAAAAGAGGCCCCCAAGACGGTCCAAGGGGCCCCCAAGACGGCCCAAGAGGACTCCAAGAGAGCCTTAGGCGGCCGCGAGAGGCCTCCAAGATGGCCTCCGAAGGGGCCAGACGGCGCAAGAGCGCCCCAAGCCGGCGCAAGACGTCAACAAGAAGCCCCGAGAGGCCCCAAAGACGATCCAAGAAGCCCCCACGAGGCTTTCAAGAGGCTCCCAAGAGCCCGCCATGAGGCCGCCCAGAAGCCCTGGGGATTGCAGGACGGAGCGGCACGCACGCGCGGCAGCCAAGCAGGTCACGCCAACCAGCGCCCACACCGTGGCCCACACCTTCCACAATTGAACACTTTTCCACAGCGGCGACTACGGCCGCGAGAGGCCCCAGACCGGCCTCAAGAGACTGGCCTCCGAATGGGCCACACGCCGCAAGAGCGCCCCAAGACGGCCAAAGACGCACCCAAGAGGCCCCAAGAGGCCCCAAAAAAGCCTAGTGCAGAAGAGGCCCCAAGAAGCCCCCAAGACACCTCCAAAAGGCCACAAAGAAGCTCCCAAAAGGCCCTGCAACGACTGGACTGCACGTGCTCCGGACGTGCACCCCGCGAAGCGAGAGGAATAGAGAGTAGCATTCATGTTGTAACCCTGTGGAGGAGGGGCGCGGGTGAGACAGGGAGCGGGGGAGGGAGGGGGCAAGGCGGAAGGAGGGCGTGATGGGGCAGGAGAAGGGAAGTTATCAGAGAATGAAGACGTGGAGGGGCAAGGGAGCGGGGTAATTAGCGGCATGGCGGGAAGGGGGATCGGGCAGCGGCTCAGCCCACCCTGATAGAAGGAGGTCTGCGCGGGGCACATGTACGCCGCCGTGGACTCGAAGAGGTGCACCATGCCGGGCCAGCGGGAAGCCATCTCCTTCGCGCGAGGGGGGCTACGTACCCGGCCCTCGGCCCCGTCACCCCCTCCCTCCCCGCCTCTTCCCTCCTTCCCCAGGACCAATCAGCATCGAATCGTGGAACCCAATCGAATCGGCACGTGCGCCGGATCGGGCTGCATCGGCTCGGAGTCGGAATGGAATCGGATCGGCTGCGCCAAGATGTGCGACAACGGCACAAGCATCGGGCCGCATCGTTTCGTCAGAACATCGGAGTACAATAGAACTGGACCTTGTCAAGAGGTGCCAGTGCCTGCAACAGGAGAGCATGCGCCATGCCGATGAAGGCGGACGACGCTATATCCCAAGCATCCGAGTGTGGTGTGCCGCTGTATTCGAGACCATTGCAATTGCAAAACAATACAAACACTATTCCACCTGGCTAACACGAACGGGTTGGCGATGCAGAACGCGCCTTATGGGATCGGCAATTATGAGAAACCCCGCACAACAGAAAACATTCCCTGTGATCTTGCTGAAGGCCAAACTGGCAAATACAACACCCCATCGTTGAGGCCACAACAATCGATGAGATGGCACAACATCTTCCGAATCTTAAATCACCCGTGTGGGGAACATGAGGGGGAACCGTGAAAACTGTCCGGCCCACCGCAATCTAGCGGCGCAGACCAGGCTCAGCGAACATAGGAGAAAACAGCGCTGCGTATTGAAACCCTTCTCAACCAAAACGAGGCCAGGACATGGACAGCATCGGAACAAGACCGATCGGGGACCTCTCAGATCCGGCGATCCTGGAGGATGCATCGGGCGGCGCAGCCTGCTCAGAGCGTTCCGGCACGCTCGGAGGTCTGGAACGCTCCGAGGGCGCTCCAAAACGCTCTGGAATGGTCCTATTCCCTGTCCCAGGCCCGCGCGACCGAACCTGGCTCAGTCAACACTTCCTTGAGGCCACATTCTGGGGCCGCGCCCGGCTCCCGAACCCGGCTCGGCCACTACCCAGCCTGGCAGGACCCCGCAGAATCCTGCAGCCTCTGGCCGAGCCCCGCCTGCGCTGAACCCCCTGTCACCTGCTGGCTGAACTGGGGGGCCGACGAGAAGGTACTGCGGGATGACGATCAATACGAGAAAGGGGAGAGAACGAACACACAAAAATAGTTTTCTGCTATTTCGGCACCATCTTCTGACTGGAGGAGAACGATTTAAAACATACCTTTCCAGCCCGCGGCCGGTTTTTTCTGATCGTCATCCCGGGCGCCGCCGCGCAGAGACGACCCCCGGTCATTTATTAATCGTCATCCTCCAGTACTGGTCCTGGTGCTGCTGCTCCCCAGAAATTCCGAGGCGAGTCGAGCTGTGGCGACGCAGGCCGCCCAGGAGGCCCCCAAAGAGGCGAAGCCGAGGCAAGGGCAGCGGCAGCGGCCCTCCGTCGAGCTGCTCAGCGCCCGCTCGGGATCCGCCCCCCCCTCTTTCATCAGGAATCTACTGACCCCTCCTCCTCCTCCTCCTCCTCCTCCTCCTCCTCCTCCTCCTCCTCCACAGACCTGGGTCAAGCAGGCTCTGCAGGGTCTGGCAATGTCCTGCAGAACCTGACTGACCTGGGCGCAACATCCTGCAGGATCCTACGCCTAAGCCTGGGTCAGTGCGCCCCCCTGCAGGATCCTGCAAGAGTCGGCGCTCTGACTGACCCCCGCTTGCATTGACCCCCGTCTCTTCAGCCCCGTCTTCCACCCCATGCCGGAGTCCCCGGGGAGCGCGCGACCTTCGACCCCAGGATCTCGAGGACAGCACAGCCGTGGCGGCAAGGGTGCCCCGCCAGGAGGCCCCAAACCAGGAGAGACGTGCGCTCGTCATCCTGACGACGACCTGCTCTGGTCACACCCACGGCGGCAAGGCGGTGCAACATGATAGCAACCACAACTGCGAAATGCCATTGCTTCGCACTCCACCCCCACAACCCAACGTTGAAATGTCCACATGTTGTCCCGGGCCGTTGGCCCACCGCCCAAGCCCGTCACCTTTGCAATTGGGGGAAGGTGGGTATGCACTCTGGGCCGGCCTGCTTTGAGAACGGACGGTCTTGGCGAGACACGCGTGGGCACTGTTTGAGTCCACTCACCGCCCCCCCCCCCCTTGGCCCGAGGGAGGCGGGCCCTGAGGGAGACAGGGCCCTGGATCCCGGGGCTTCCCTCCCCGGGAAGCCAGCACCCCTCTCCCGAGCAGGCTTTTAGTTCGTCCAGCCCTGGAAGAGAGCCCGACCGACCGGCAGACGCGTCCCGCACGGCTGCAGGGCCGGTCCTGCACGGGACACGGGGAGGAACAGAACGTGCAACTCGCTTGCAGCAAACCGAGCACAGCGACTTGCACGCACGCTCACAAACACACACACACACACTCGTTCACATGCCTCAGAAATGAGAAACCTCCAGGACCCGCTTCCCTCGGGACGGCCCATTGCTTCAGAGGGGCACCTCCTCCTCCTCCTCGAGGGCGGTGCCGCCGGAGGCGGTCCTGCAGGGGCGCGTTGAAGCGCGGGTTCGCCTCCACCAGCATCGCTTCCCACTGCAGGCGGGCCGCTTCTGTTGTCAACCGAGCGAGGCCAGGCGGGCGCACAGGCGGCGGCGAGCGAGGGGAGGCGAAGCGAGAAGGAGGCGGCCTTCTCAGACGGCGGCGGGGCTTCTCATACAGTCTGGCCGCTGAAAGAAGGAACGCTAAACAAGGAACGATGCCCCTTCTTGGCCCTGTAAGCGCCTCCGTGCCCCAGGAGGGCAAGAGGAACAGCACTGGAGGAACACAAGGAACATCGAGCCCCCTCCGAACCCAAACTGTTCCTTATTTCAGCGTCTTGACTGTAAGCCCTCGGGCCTTCTGAGAAGTTTTCTGTGGCCTCGGGGATGGCTCAGGGAACTTCTCAGAATCGGGGGCGCGCAAACACGGATTGGCGATCCATGGATCTGGTGCGCGGTCGCCAGATCCATGGATCGGGGGAGGTGCCCTCCCCAAAATGCGGCCAGCGCCGTCTCGTTCGGCGGCGGAAGTCCGCGATGTCCTGTGGAAACGGGACCCGTCGCTTATCCACGCCCCTTGACCCATGTTTAGAAACAGGAAAACCATATAAACATAAACTTTTGGCGCGCCGCGCGGATTTCTTGGATCCGCGCCGGACACCCCTCCCTGGCGCGCGGATCTCGCCAGGGGCGGCGCCGCAGGCGCCGCCAAGGGGGGCCCAGCGCGGATCCAAGAACTCCGCGTAGAGCGCCGAAAGTTATGTTTGTGTGTGTTTTTTTCTTCTGCTTCGAATGTTTGCCATCGCCTGACAGAAGTCGGGCGTTGGCAGAACTGGGTTTAGTGGGAACTGGATTAGCGATGTGTGCTGGGGGACGCCCCCCCCGCCCTTTTCCACTAACCGGAACTGCCGTCACCCGAAAAAACACCAGCTACGGCAGACCTGGTTCAGTGATTCTGGCCAATTTATTGAGCAGGGACCGACCGTCCGGGCATTTCTATAGTCCTACCACGAAATGTTCTCCGAACCCAAAAATGTTCTAATAACAAAACGTTGTTCTTAGAACATCAGCCCGAGGTGTTAAAACAAGACAATATCCGCCAGACATGCTCTGAGAACACTTCGTGGAAACCACAAGAGGTTCCTAGAACATCGCTCGGTGGGGCTGTAGGCGAGCCAGGACGCTTCGCCACTGCTTGAATCTAGGGGCTCCGGGGCCCTACCACGAACCAGGTCCCCCTACCCGGGGTCCTGGCTACACCCGAAGAGGTCCCCTGGGCCTCCCGAGCGGGCCTTCCCCTATTCAGTGATCCTGGCCAATTTAGGGGCTCCTGGGCCCTACCACTGGCCATCGCTCGGACGTCCATTCCCTGTGTTTTTTGTTCGGTTTCGCGCGTGTTCTTGTTCGCCAGATGATCCAGGATGCTCCTCGATGGTCCTCGCCGAAAGAAATGCAGACGTCCGAGCGATGCCAAGACCACGAACCAGGTCCCCCTACCCGGGGCCCTGGCCACACCCGAAGATCGGGAGCGGCAAAGAGGGGGGTGTCCAAGAGGGGGGGGTGCAAATCATGACCGGCGGCATGTGCGCGGCCCAGCGGGGGGGCCGAGGGACGTAATGAAACAAGAAGGGGCGCCATGAAATCTGCAGAAATATCATGGCCCCCGCCATGATATCCCCCCCCCCCCCCCCCCCCCTAGTCAGCACCCCCTCTTTGCCGCCCCCGAGAAGAGGTCCCCTGGGCCTCCCGAGCGGGCCCTCCCCCTCCCCGCCTCCCCCCCCCCCCCCGTGCCCCGCCGCCGCCCCGAGGCCTCCGCCGCCGCCCCGCGCGCGGGCGGCCCGGGCGGGGCCTCCTCCTCCCCCTCCTCCTCTCCTCCTCCTCCTCCTCTTCCTCTCCCCTCCTCTCCTCCTCCTCCTCCTCCTCCTCCTCCTCCCTCCTCCTCCTCTCTCCTCCTCCTCCTCCCTCCTCTCCTCCTCCTCCTCCTCCTCCTCCTCCTCCTCCTCCTCCTCTCTCTCTCTTCTCTTCTCTCTTCTCTCTTCTCTTCTCTCTTCTCTTCTCTTTCTTCTCTTTCTCTTCTCTTGCTCCTCCTCGCTCCTCCTCCTCCTCTCCTCCCTCCTCCCCTCCTCCTCCTCCTCCTCCTCCTCCTCCTCCTCCTCCTCCTCCTCCTCCTCCTCCTCCTCCTCCTCTGAGCCGGGCGGGCCGGCCCCTGGGGAGGGCTGTGTCTCTCCCCGTCGGCCTGGCGCCGCAGAGGGGACGAGGAGACGGGGGACCGAACGCTGTACACCGACGCCTTGTGTCTGGCCCCACGCTGGATCTCGCACGGGATGGCGGATCCTGGCGTGTAGGGGAGCCTGGTGTATACGCTCTTCGCTGTCTCTCCCCTTCGGCCTGGCGCCGCAGAGGGACGAGGAGGTACTCGCCATCGCTCGGACGACCATTCCCTGTGTTTTTTGTTCGGTTTCGCGCGTGTTTTTTGTTCGCCAGATGATCAAGGATGCTCCTCGATGGTCCTCGCCGAAGGAAAAAGGCACACGTCCGAGCGATGCCAAGGATAGGGATCGAAACTCTATACACCGACGCCTTTTGTCTGACCTCACGCTGGATCTCGCGCGGGAGAGCGGATCCTGGCGTATAGGGGATCGTGGTGTATACGCTCTTCGTTGTCTCCCCAGGAAAACTGTGGAAAAAATATGCACCAGACCATCCCGACGTGGTCCCCGACCCTCGAAAAAGTCCTGGGATTGGAAAACCGCCCGCCACTGGTAATGTATATGCTCCAGTTTCCGAAGAAAGGCCTCAGCATTGCAATCGGACCCGAGGGCAGAAAAACATCATTCCAGAACGGGAGACCCTCCGCCGCCAGGGTGCACAAGAGCATCGGACAAGCACGAAGAACCTTGGGGTACGTACCCTCCCCGAACCGACCTCGACCTTCTACCTCGGTCCGACTGTCACTGCTGGGGTCCGCGCGGCCTTCCTGGATCGGCGCTGGACATCCCCGCCCCCGGCGCGCGCTCCGCGCCGCGCGGGGGGTCCCAGCTCCGATCCGAGAAGGCCGCGCGGAGCTCCGACAGCTCATGTCCCTGCAGCTTCCAGCTCCACGAGCGGCAAGGACGCGTGGAGCCAGATGCTGTCGCCGCCCGCATCCCGACCGCAGGGCGCCCGCGCACTGCTGGGCATGAGCTGGATCGACTCGAGAGATCGAATCGGATCGGAAACGGGTTGGATCGCCGGCGAATCGCCCCGCATCGGAACGAACTCGCATCGCCGCACCAGGCTCTGGCTGGCACCGACCGATGCTGGTGAAACGGACCGAACCGTATCGAATCGGCATCGCGGCCCCACCTGGCGAATGGAATCGCATCGCACCGAGTCGTAGGCGGCCCCGACTGCCGTCGCCGGCGGCCCGAGCGGGCAAGACCTGTGCCCACATCCCCTGCAGCTTGGGGTGTCGGGCTCCCTCCCCCAGAAAACCGAGGAGCACTGGATGAGGATATAAAAATCAGGCCCCTCCTCCTCCTCCTCCTCCTCCTCCTCCTCCTGCCAGAGGCTCAAATCTTATTCACACCCAGTGCGCTTCGGCCTGGCGGCGCCCCCTCTCCACGAACGTCCGAGACGCCCTGGATCCGGATATAAACACTGCCCGCGCAAGGAGGGCCCCGTCGGCGAGACCGGCCTCCGCCTCGGGGGGCAGCCTCGACGCCGAGGGCGCTCGGCACCCCGAGGCTGCCGCGCGAGGCCACGCGGGGCGCGGGCAGCGGGGCTCGGGGGGCAGCCTCTGCAAGGCGGGGGCCTCGCAGGCCCGAGGCAGGAGCGCGGCCACCGGAGACCTCCCACGAGCAGTCCGACGCTGGTGCCCCAGGACGTCCATTGACTTTCGGCGTGGGCTCGTCACACTTTCCGTCGAAAAAAAGACCATCGAAACTCACGAAACACGCACTCCGGAGACAAGCAGGGTGTTTCCTGGCATGGGTTGCCGTTGTAAGGGGCCCGTGAGCCCCATTAGGCCCTGGAGGGCTGCGACTGCGGCTGCGACGCGCCTTTTGCGCACCCCGTGTGCGGCGGGGTCCGGGCCGAGCTGCCCCCCAAAAAGCGCTAGACCGCTGCACAGAACAGGTCCTCAAGAGCACTCCACGCGTCGCGGGCGGCAAGCCTCGTCCTAGATTCGGCCCGGGATGGGAGGCCTGGCCATCGCTCGGACGTCGATTCCCCGTGCGTTTCTCGATGTCGCGCACGCGTGTGTGTGTGTGTGTGTGTTCGCAAGATGACTCGAGCTGCTCCTCGATGGCCCTCGCCGAGATAAGAGTGCGCACGCCAAAGCGATGCCAAGAGGCCCGCTTAAGCCGGATGGTGCAGGCTTGAACTCCCAGGAGTTGCACCCTGAAAAGTCGGCGTGAAACGAGGAACAGCGCAGACGAATGTCGGGAGCGGCCAAGAGGGGGGTGTCCAAGAGGGGGGGGGTGCAAATCATGACCAGCGGCACGTGCGCGGCCCAGCAGGGGGGCCAGGGACGTAACGAAATAAGAAGAGGCGCCATGAAATCTGAGAAAATATCGTGGCCCCCGCCATGATATCCACCCCCCCCTAGTCATCCCCCCCCCCTCTTTGCCGCCCCCGAGAGTGGGCGCCACCGCGCTTTGTAAGTTGGGAACAGCAGGAGAGAGGAGAGAGGGCGGGGGACGAGGCGCAGGAGCTCGGGAAGCTCTGTAAAGAACCGAACTTTACACCGATGTTTTTTATTCTGGTCCCGCACTGAGATTCACACGGGAAAGCGGATCCTGGTGTATACTGCATCCTGGTGTATACAAATTCTGTTGCTTCCGAAAAAACGGGAAACAAGTAACCGAATGCAGCCGAGAATGAACCCCCAGGGAGAATAAAGTTCGGCGGCAACGGTGTGATAATAAAAGTTGTCCACCAGGACCAGCATAAAGATGTTAACAGAGGAGCCAAAGCCGAGGATATCTTGAGACATCCTTGGCTTGTTGTCCTCTCTGAGACATCCTCAACAATGGCTTGTTTCGCTTGAGACATCCTCGACAAATCTCTCGTTTCGCTTGATACATCCTCGAAATAGTTGTTTGCTTCGCTTGAGTTCCTTTTTGCTGCTCGTTTCGCTTGAGACGTCTTCACCAAACGTGTTAGTTTCGTTTGGACGGTCCTCGACGAGCGTGCTCCTTTCGATGTTTGTCCTCTCTGAAACATCCTGAAGGAACGCGTCGGCCTTTGATATTTTTATAATACAAAACTGAAGCTCGGAGGTGCGCGCGCGCGCCTTGGAGCTTCACTTTTATATTATTCACAATTAATAAATCGACATGTGCCTTCAAAAACGAAATTGAAAAATTCTGGAGCCCTTTGAGGAGGCTGAAGGAACGTGCCGGGTTTTCAAACATTTTATAATGCGGAACTGAAGCTCTGAATTTTTTTTCATAGAGATTCCTCATGTGCATCATTTTCCCAGGATAGTCAACCACAGCGATAAACAAGTTCAGGGGGGCAGGGGGAGGAGAAGAAAGATAGAGGGATACATAGAAATATAGAGAGAGAAGAGGAGGTAGAGGAGGAAGAGGAGGAGGAGAAAGAGCAAGAGGAGGAGAGAAGGAGATGGCAAACATCCAAAGTTTAGAACTGATTATATTGAATTCGTAAGCGCTTAATGAACATTGAAATTTTCATCTGCTCGTGTAGGGTAGCTCACGTGCCTCGTTTTCCCAAGAAGCGATGAACAAGATCAGGGCGCCAGAGGGAGGAGGAGGAGAAAGAGATAGAGAGACAGAGAGAGAGAGAGAGACAGAGAAAGAAAGAAAGACAGAAATAACTACACAGAGACATAAAGACATTGGTTTCGCTTGAGACATCCTGAAAAAAGTGTTCGCTTCGCTTGGTGTTGCTCTCTCAACATAAGAAGGAAGTAACCTCGATGGCGAACTTTTCCCCGTGATAATGCAATTCGGCCTCCGCGCCCCCGCGCCCCCGACCAAACTCTTATTGGCCGTGGATAATCAACTCTTATGTGTATAGGGGGGGCATTATTATCGTGGGTATGGGGTTATACACCACAACACCCCGACGTCGTCCCCGACCCTCCAAAAAGTCCCGGGATTGAAAAACCGCCCGCCACTGGTAATGTATATGCTCCAGTTTCCGATTCTGGGCGTGAGCGACGACGGTGCTCATGAACATGGGCAAACAAATCCAAGCGCGCTGTGGGGAGGCCAACAGACACCGATACTGCTACTCCCTGGGGTGCGCTCAGACCAAAATTTCAAGGCGAATCCAGCGGTGGCGGCGAGGGCCTCCCAGGAGGCCCAGAAAGGGGGCAAACAAGGAAATGGTAGTGGTATGGAAACCTCTGCCTCATATGGCGTCAGGCAGATAACCCGGAAGAACTTCAGAAGGCCCCCTCATGGAGGTCGCCGCGGAGGCCCCACGAACGGGGAGGCCCCTGGAGACCTCCGCGGAGAGAAACCCAGGCCCCCGACGTCGTGTCCCAACTTTTCATCATCGGGGTGTCTTGGCCACGGCCTGTGGGCTGGCTACGTAGAAGCATAACCATCGGCAGCATCCAAAATTAGGCATACGCTTCGGTTGTAAGTGGGTAGAAACATGAAGTAGGACGGCGGTGAAAATACTTAGGTTGGATGTCTGCCCGCCCCCTGAAGAGGAGGGAAGAGGGAACCCGTTTGACTCTTGAAACAGGAAGGCGCCTAAAATAGACTATGACCAAGAGATCCAAATACACCTACTTTCAACGACAGTCGTGCATCTGGACGCCCAAAATGGATACAGAAAAAAGGGGTACAAAGCCCAATGGCAAATGTTGCCCAAAACCGACAGGGGCCGCTGCAGGCGTGCTGTCTTCACCGACGAGCGTCCGCGGCGGCGCGGAGAGCGAGCCCTGTCCAAAACGAAGAGGGACTGCCGTTGGATATCGCACCCGCTCTGTTCGTGCCCCTTTTGGATCGTCCCGAGTGCAAGCGGAGCGCGGCGGGTGCCATGGCAAATCGACACCTGTGGGACTCGAACCCGCGCGGGGAGACCCCATCGGCTTAGCAGGCCGACGCCTTCACCGCTCGGCCAAAGTGTCACTGCCTACAGAGCGGGCTGGGCCTGCGAGTTTGCACTGGGGCAGTCGCCTTGCATGCGTTGATGCACCTTCTGGAGGCCCGCCCGGATCTCTGTTATCGGCCCTGCACCTCCCCTCCGGCGGGCGAAGCGCGCAGGGGGCGGCGCGCGGCAAGCGCCGCCTGCGAGGTCCGCCGAATCCGCGCAGGCGTCAGAATGTTCTCGTTGTCGTCGTCGTCGTCGTCGTCGTCGTCGTCGTCGTCGTCGTCGTCGTCGTCGTCTTCTGCGACTGTCTGGAGGGGTCGATCTGGGTCACCAGAGAGCCAAACCGCAGTAGTCAAGCGGGGGATCGATTACAGGATTGGTTTACCCCACGCTGCCTTTCTCGTCGAATCCATGGCACACGCGTCGAATAATGTTCCTAGATCTGCGGACATCCTACGCATTGCTTGTAGATCCTACGGGGGAAAAAAGGCCTCCTTGATGCGGTCGGAGTAGATGGGGTCGAAAGATCCGACCGCATCGCCAATGCATCGCCGATGCATCACCGATGCATCGGCGATGCATCGGCGACGTCGGCGACGCATCGGCGCCGTCGGTGCGGAGAAAACTGGGACCCACATCGAGCCGCATCGCCGATGCCTCGGCGATGCAACGATGCATCGCCGATGCATCGGCGATGCGGCCTGATCCTCCGATACCATCTACTCCGACACCATGCAGGACGCCTAGAGAGCAGCAACTTTGGGGGTGCCTCAGCTCTGCAGTCGATCCCCTGCTCGAGGCAGGAGGGCTGGCGAGGGGCACCCGGCGGGGCGAACGAGGGGAAACCGGCAGCGGTCCGCGGCGCTGGGGCAGTTGCCCACGGGCCCGTACTGGTTGTTCAGGAACGCCTCCGGGGGGGGGGGTCGCCCTCCACTCTGCGTGCCCCTGCTGGAGTTGGCAGGGGAAGCGGGAAGAGAGGGCGGCAAGAAGGAATGAGGGGTGGGGAGGGGAGGAGGGGGAGGGCGAGGAGGGGAGAAGGGGAGGACGAGGAGGGGAGGAGGGGAGGAGGGGGACGAGGAGCAGAGGAGGGGAGGGGAGGAGGGGGGGGGGGGACGAGGAGGGGGGGAGGAGGGGAGGAGGGCGGGGTGGGGGCGAGGAGCTACCAGCCTGGAACAGATCCCTATCCCTATGCTTGGCATCGCCTCATCACGATGCCGATCTTAGGGAGTCCCTCGGTGCCTGAGGGTGCATCCCCAAGCTTCTCACCGCCTTCTGGCGCGCCAATCTCGAGGATATAGAGATCAGCTCGACGCCGGGGACGGAGGGGAACGGTGCCGACCCCTGCCGGAGCCACATCCTGAGCACCCCCGGGTCGCACACTCTGCGCGCGAAACTGCCCCCGGGTGGGGGGGGGGGGGCGCCGTGGCTCCCGCCCTGCGGGCTCGGCAGGCTCGGGCCAGCAGAGGGCCGTGTGCTTCGCCGAGCGCCCCCCGTGCTCCCAAGCCAAACGCGCTGGTGCGGGGGGGGGTCCCCGCCTTCTCCGCCTGCCCCGTCCGCCCCCCCCCCTCCCTTCCGTCTCCATGCCGCCGCAGGAGACTGGAACTGGTGCAGGGCACTGCAACCTGATCCTCGCAGCCCGATGGCCCCGCAAGGGGCCGGCGGATCTCTCCTCCTCCCTCCTCCTCTTCTCTCCTCCTCCTCCTCCTCCTTCCCTCCTCCTCGTCCTTCCCTCCTCCTCCTCCTCCTCCTCCTCCTCCTCCTCCTCCTCGTTCGCTGTCGCTCTGGGCTCCTCCCGCCATTCTCTTGTCGATCCGACACCCCTGTCACTCTCCTGCTCCTGCTCCCCGTTCTCTCGATCCAACTCCCCTGTCACTCTCCTTCTCCTTCTCCCCGCCCTCCTTTCCTTCTCCTCCCTCCCTCCTCCCCTTCCTCTTCTCCCACTGCTCCGTCGCTTCTCCCCTTCCTCTTCTCTAGGGGGACATGCGAACCCTACCCCTACCCCACGATTTCTGAGGGGGAGGGTGGGGTTCACTTCGTTCGGGAGCTCCCGAGCGAAGTGAAACCCACCCTCCCTCTCAGAAATCGTGGGGGGTAGGGGTAGGGTTCGCATGTGGCCCCCGATTCTCGATGATCCTCAGAACGCGTGTTAGCGCCAACGTGCTTGACCACAAGCGGCGCAACGAGGGCCGACACGGACTGCGCGCTACCAGCGGAGCCGAACGGGGTAATGGCACATACGCTTGGGCTTACATGCGTCCTGAAAATCATCGACCTTCCCATCCTCCGCATCCGCCCCGTCACTCGAGAACAGCCACCGAAGAAGAATTGGAGAGCAAGACTCGGCGGCGAGCGAGGGGGGATGTGAGAAGGAGACGGCCTTCTCAGAAAGCGGCGCGGCTTCTCAAAAAACATCCAGCCTTCTGAGAGGTTTCCGTCTATCTTCGGGGAACGCTTCAGAAGGCCGGGTGGACTTCCGAACCTGCTGAAAAGGACCACCCCTTATCTTTGAGGAAGCCGAAAGGTACCGATATCCCTATTCCCCGGACCTCTCCCGGGGTGCGTTCTGACTAGAATTTCGAGACGAATCCAGCGGTGGTGACGAGGGCTTCCAAGGAGGCCCCAAAAGAATGGGAAAACGAGGGAGGGATAGCGGTATGGGTATTTGTTTCCTCCTCTGACTCACTTCCCCCCGGGCTCGCCGCCGAAAAACGCCTTCAGCGTGTTCCCGTCCGCCGCACCGAGGTCGATCCAGACGCACTTCGGCACCGTCCTCTGGCACCTCACCTAGGGCCGGCGCTTTCTTCAGGAAAGAGCGGGAGGAGGAGGACGGGCGACGGAGACGCAGCAGCGAGGAGAGGTATGCTCTGCAGAGCGCGTGGTTGGCGCGGAGCGTGTGCCTGTGAGAGTGCAGGAAGGGACTAGCACAGGCTGGTGCTGTCGGTGGAGCGGAGCGGGGCAAACACACGTTGGGCCAGTAGACGTCCTGAGGATCCTCGAGAGGAAGGAGGGAGCTCAGCGGGCCCTGGGGGCGGCAAGAGTTGCCGTTTACCGTTTGTAAGAATCTGCCCCTTGAAAATGAATATGGTGATTTGTTTTGTAAGGCTCACCGAAACAGGGACAAAAACGGCACCCGAACAAAGGTCGAGTGGTGGAAGGGGACAGGGGGGCGCGCGGGCTTGTGATCTCGTGGATGTTCCGAGGACGCCGCCGGCGCCACAATCCGACCGTCATTGTGTAAATATCACGCGGGCAGACCACGCTTGCGCGCACCATCGCGCTCCAATTCTTGATGATTCATTGTGAACTGCATCTGGTGGTCACGCTGAACCACACACGAGGTCGAAGACTCGTGCGGGGTCAGCTTTTTTTCACTGTAGTCATGCCATTTTGCGAAGAGAACGCGTCACACAATCTCGACGCACCGACCGCGATTTACGGCAATCACCCTCCTGAATATTGTACTCGGGTCTGTATGGGCACACAGGTAGTGTGCGCGAATCTTCGGGGCACGACAGGTTCTGATCTCGATCGCCATTGACTTCTGCGCTGGAACTGCAACTACCACCAGCATGATGGACCACCACATCATCCCCAGCCGCACTTGCGCGCAGAAGCCTCCAGACATCCTCACACAATCCCCGTGGGAGCACATGTACGAAACGCAGCCCGAACGCGCACGAACAGTGGGGAGTAAGGGGGAGGCGGAGGAGCCGGAGGCGAGGGACATGGCGTCGCCGACACCTGCCCGCACCGCCTGTGCAGCAACCACCACAACCACAACAACAGACACACAACCAGCTACACGGAGCCCGCATTTGGAGGGCCAAGCGTCAAACTCGACCTGGCCCCATGGAACCCCCGTGCCTGCTCCTTGTCCTCCTCCCCCCCTCCGTCTCAATCAGACATGCCCCAACCCCGCAAAAATGCCCAGGGCCAGCGCGGATCCCAGAGATCCGCTCGGAGCGCCAAAAGTTTCTGTTCATGGCGTGTTGTCTTCTTCGAGCCTGCGCGCGCGCGCGAGCGGGGGTCTCCCAGCTGCTGCTGTGGGGCTCGCAGGCGCAGGGCGCGCCAGCCTTCCTCTCCTGGGGCACGCTATGCGCGCGGAGCGGCGGGCGGGGCTCCCCTTGGCGGCACGTTCACAAGGGAGAGGGCTGCTAAGAATAGGTCGGGCATGTCCTGGTACAGGGCGAAAATGTTGGGAGGACAGCTAGAATGTTAACCAGCGTGGGTCCCAAACAGTAGGTTCTTGCAGTCTACGCGGTACACTATATATATATATATGTGTGTGTGTGTACCTATCTATATATATATATATGTGTGTGGAGCGCGATGCAACCTATGTGCTGAAATATATGCGGTGCAATCTAAGTGGTGTCAATCACTTTGACTGTCTTGAAACTGTCCTCTCCACTGCTCGTGCAAACATCCCACCATCCCACCCGCAACTTGGTCGCGAGGCCTCTTAGGACCGTGACTGAAGGTACCAAATGGCTCCTGGCAACGACACCGACGCCGAAGACGACAGCGACAACGACGACGACGACGCCACCGACAACGACTACGACGACACCAACGACGTCTCCAACATCTTCGACGACGACGACAACGACGACGACGACACCGACGACGACGACGACGACGACGCCGACGCCGACGGCGACGACGACGATGACAACGCCGACCACGACGCCGACGCCGACAGCGACGACGACGCCGACGCCGACGACGACGACGAAGACGATGACGACGACGACGTCGCCAACAAAGACGACGACGACGAGGGAGGAGGGAGGACGACGCCGGCGACATCGACGACAACGACGAGGGAGGAGGGAGGACGACGACGACGCGAACGACGGAGAAGGAGGGAGGACGGCGACGCCGACGACGACTACGACGAGGGAGGAGGGAAGACGACGACGACGACGACGGCGACGAAATAGGAAGGACGACGACGAGACGCCGACGACGGACGACGACGACGACGACGAGGGAGGAGGAAGGACGACCACGGCGACAACGACGACGCCAAAGGGGGCGACGACGACAACGACGACGAGGAATGATAGAGGACGACGACGGCGGCGACGACGACGAGGGAGGAGGCAGGACGGCGACGACGACAACGACGACGCAAGAGCGCGCGCGCACGCTTGTGTTGAAAATCCGCGTTGCGACACCTTTTGCTCTTGTATGTTTCCGAAAACAACAGGTTTTTTTTTCCAAGGATTTCGGCATGCGCTCGCGACGACGCGCGCGCGCACTTCGTCCCATTTCTTGCAAAAAGGATTCTCGCGACGGCACGCGCGCAAGGGCGCCCGAAAGTTTTCGACATGCGTGTTGAAAATCCGTGTTGCGAAACCCTTTGTTGTTGTATGTGTTTTGGAAGCTCGATTTCGAAACCCTTCTGAAACCGAAGGTTTTTGAAGGATTCCGGCATGCGCGCGCGACGACGCGCGCGTGCACACTCTGTTTTTTTGCAAGGGATTCTTGGAAACTTGTGATTTGTGATAGACGAGTGCGCGCGCATAGTACTGTTTTGCAGAGGATGGCGGGGGGGGCGATGCCGGTTGGGCTGGGACAGGATGAATTCACAAGTAGGATGGACATTGGGTCAGAATCCGATGTGTTTTACATCGGTTCCCGGGTGTCTTTAACCCCGGCGGGAGGGTGGTGGCACTTATATTTTTTGGTAAAGCAAGAATCTACGCGGTGCACCCTATGTGATGCAATGAATTTCTGTTCGCAATGAATGAATTGTCCACTCCACTGCTCGCGCAAACGTCCCACCCACCCACCCGCAACCGCAACTTGGTTTGCAAACTTCATGCGGCGGCGATTGCGATCATTGCTTCGCGCTGGCTGGTGCGTCTCTGCGGCCGCGCCAACCCGCGCATGCGCGCACAGAGGCCAGGTAGTTCGGCGCGACCGACGCGGGCAGTTAAATGCGAGTCAGCGGCCTGGGCGGGTGCGGTATCATGACAACGTCGACAATTGCAGACACGTTGACGATGATAATGGCGATGTTGGTGACGACAACTGTAGACACGATGATAATCATCATGATAGTGGCGATGACGGCGCCAATGCCGATCACGCCATCGACGATGACCGCGTCTTCGCGTCGATGATGAAGGTTTTGGAAGGAATTCGAAATGGGCGCGCGGCAGACGCGCGAAAGTGGCCCGCATGGTAATATTTGGAACGGATCGTGCCACCCCAGCACGCGCGCAAAGGCGTCCGAACGATTTCGACATGCGCGCGCGAAGCCTGTTAGATAACATTGTATAACAAAGTCAAGGACCTATGGTTTTTGTGAGAATTCGCAAGAGCGCGCGCGCACGCGTGTCTTGAACATCCGCGTTGTGAAACCGTTGGTTGTTGTATGTTATCTGGACACCCGATTTTGAAATCCTTCCGGAACCGAAGGCTTTCAAAAGATTTCGGCATGCGCGCACGACGACGCGCGACGCGCGCGCGTGTGCACTTCGTCCCGTTGTTTGCAAGGGAAGCTTTTTTAGAAAATCAGTGTTGCGAAACCGTGTGTTGTTGTATGTGTTTTGGACACTTGAATTTGGAATCCTTCCGAAACCGAAGGTATATGAAGGATTTCGGCATGCGCGCGCGGCGACGCGCGCGTGTGCAGTTCGTCCTATTTGTTGATAGGGATTCTTGAACATTGAACATGTTTGATAAAAGGACTGCGCGCGCATAGCTTTCTTTGCAATGGATGGCGGGGGGGGCCGATACCGGCCTAGCTGGGATACTATTAATTCACTATTTTTTAAGTTCTGGGGGGGAGGGTGGTAGAACCTCTCTTGTTAGCAAAACGAATCTACACAGTGAACATATATGTGGTGCAATGTATGCGAGGCAATATACGCGATGCGACCTATGTAGTGCAATCCATGCGGTGCAATCTGCGTTGTGCAAGTTAAGCGATGCAACCTATGTACTACAATCTACGCGGTGCAATCTATGTGCTCGCACACATCACTCTGACTACACCCGCGCTTCGGAATGGGGATCCCCTTTCTTGGAAAACGGGAGAGGACGCGCGCAGTCGGTTCCCAATTCCTGTTTTGGGAAACTAGATCGCGCAAAGCCTTTTCAATAATCCTCATGTCTCTATGAAGATCGGAGGGCCTGGGAGGCACGTGAAACGAGTTAGGGACGCGAGCAGACGACGCTACGAGCGCAGAACAGATGATGGCCCTGTCCTCATGCAGGGCGCCGCAAGAATGATGGGGCACATGGCACTGCGGTTAGGTCGGGCAGGTCATCGTACCGGCGGAGTTTGGGAGACAGCTTTTGAACATATGAAACAGATTCGAAAGCATTCCAGGGAGCACGAACACTCGTCCCACGACCATGTTTTTTACTATTCTCGGCGGTGGACCAGCCTCCCTTTAGTAGACCTCCCCTTAGTGAAAGCGGCCTGGGACCGAAACCGACGGACCCGGACCCGCAACAAAAACGACGGCCGCGACGCCCCCCCCCCCCCTCGCGAACCGAAAACGGCCCATTCCTTCATCGACGTGTCAGGGTATAGGTCTACCCACCTCCGGAAAAAAAAACATATTCTTTTTTTTCTTTGTTCGGCGTCTCTTGTTTTGTCTCATGATCTCTAGGTCCTCCGCCTGCAGAGGGTATCCCCAGCCCTCCTTAGTACAGCGATCCTCAAACTCACGGACGGCGCCACCCGCAAAGAGAGAGAACTGGAACGGTGCCTCAGGGTCGCCTTGCAAAAGAGAGCGGCTACGTGAAACTGGCCTCGAGGGTGGGAGTCCTGGGAGGAGCATCTCAGAGACACTTCCTCGCATCTCGCGAAGCCCGGCCGCCGTAAGCACTCGAAAACACTCCAGGGAGCACGAACAAGCGCCCCACGGCCCTGTTTTCCACTACTCCTCCTGCGGATCTCAGACCGCGGACGGTGCCGACGGGCCGCGGGGGGCCCCCGGCGAGTGCAGCCGCCGCGCGAGAAGACGGGGCGGCCGCCGCGCGGGCTCGGGCCCGTCCGAGCCTGGGTCGGGTCAGGCTCCGAAAAGCATCAGGCACAGGTCCCAGGACTCCCCACATGCTCTTGAATTTTCTGGGTGCTCGTCCTCCTCCCCCCCCACTTTTCCCATGCTTTCCCATCTTTTCCTGGGGGTCGTCGATGATGTGCCTGTGCGTTTTCAGTCCCCTCCTGCGCTTTGCAAGATTCTGCAAAGATCCTGCAGGATCCTGCGCCCTGACCCCGGGTCAGTGCAGCCCTATAGCGATGCGCGGTCCTGCAAGCTCCGGCGCTCTGGCTGACCCCCGTCTGCATGGAACCCCGTCCCTGGAGCGCCGACGGACGCGGCCGTTGGGGCCTCCGGTGGAGCTCCCCATGGGGCCACGGAGCGTGCGAGAGGCCACAGATCGGGAGCGGCCAAGAGGGGGGTGTCCAGGGGGGGGTGCAAATCATGGCCGGCGGCATGTGCGCGGCCCAGCGGGGGGGCCAGGGACGTAACGAAATAAGAAGAGGCGCCACGAGATCTGGGAAAATATCATGGCCCGCGCCATGATATCCACCCCCCCCTAGTCATCACCCCCCTCTTTTCCGCCCCCGAACAGAGCGCACCGCGGCCGCCCCGTCTTCTCGCCGAGGCGTCGGGCGTCTGCGGAGACCCCCGGGGCGTCTGGAGAGGGGGGGAGGAGGAGGAGGAGGAGGAGGAGGAGGAGGAGGAGGAGGAGGAGGAGGAGGAGGAGGAGGAGGAGGAGGAGGAGGAGGAGGAGGAGGAGGAGGAGGCCGACGGCGTCGGACGTCTGCGGAGGCCCCCGGGGCGTGTGCCGCGTCCTGGCCGAGCCGCGCCGCGAGGTGCACGGCGGGGGGCCGCAGGCCGCCGAGGGTGTCGTTCGCCGCGGCGGTCCTGGGCAGCGGGCAACGATAATAACGACAACGATAACAACGATAACAACGATAACAACGATAACAACGATAACAACGATAACAATCGTTGTTATCGTTGTTATCGTTGAAGAAGCGCGGGGCGGGGGGGGGAGGAGCAGGGGCAGGGCTGCTCAGAAGACAGCGGGACCCCCCTCCCTGGCGCGGGGAGCGCGCCTTCGGGCGGCGCTGGAGGTGCCGCCAGGGGGCCCGAGCGCCGATCCAAGGAAGCCGCGCGGACCTACGCACTTGTATGTTGGTGTCGTTGCTTGTTCCCTGGGTGTGAGCATCGCCCAGCCGATGCCCACCCCCGCCAGCTTGACCTTGGCCCCACTGGCGGTGGACCCCCCTGGATTGGGACAAACAACCGTACAGATGATCAATGAACATATGAATTATGAAATCAGGGCCAGGCTCCCAGACGGCTCTCTTGAAAGCAAGCCAGGGCAAATTTCAGTTGTTAGCGCAGGAGGAGCGAAGGTGCTCCAGAAACTGTCCCAGCTTTTCGGCACTGTTCTTGTTCTAAAGATGCGCTGGCCCAGCTTTTCGGGAAGAGGTTTCTCCATCAGATGCTCGACCGTACACGTGTTGTTCCGCTCGGGCTTCGCAGGCCGAGGTACGTAGCATGGCCCGGGGGGGCAGGGACCTTTAAAACGACGCTGAAGGGGGTGTCATGGGGGGGGACCCAACAGGTACAGATGTTTTAAATCGGCCGACCGTCCCGGCATTCCTATAGTCCTACCACGAAATGCTCTCAGAACCCAGAAATGTTCGGATAACAACAACAGTGTTCTTAGAATATAAGCCCGATGTGTTAAAACAAGGCAATATCAGCCAGACACGTTCTAAGAACATTTCGTGGAAACCACATGAGGTTCTCATAACATTGTCTGGTAGGGCTATAAGCGAGCCAGGACGCTTCGCCACTGCTTGAGCGATGGTCCGCAGACCATCGCGGCAGCTGCGAGGTGCGTGTGTGTGTGTGTGTGTGTGTGTGTGTGTGTGTGTGTGTGTGTGAGTGTGTGTGTGTGAATGTGTGTGTGTGGTGTGTGTGTGTGGTGGGGGGGGGCGGCCCCTCATCCTGCTCCTCCTCTTCCTCCTCCTCCTCCTCTTCCTCCTCCTCCTCCTCCCTCCCCCTCCCCCCTCCTCCTCCTCCTGCTCCTCCTCATGTGTGGGTGTGTGTGTGTGTGTGTGTGTGTGTGTGTGGGGGGGGGGGGGGGGGGTGGCCCCTGTCCTCGCGGAAGGTGGGCCCGTCCGCGGGCACCGAGGAGGCCCGGGGGGGAGGGAGACTTGAGGTCTCATAGGTCCTGCGACGTCTCGGCATTGCTGCCACAGTTCTCCGATGTTTTTGTTGGCCATCTCGGGCACCCCCCAGACCTCTTCGCCAGACCCCGCCCAGCACTCCAAGACGGCTCGGCATCAGACCGCCCTTTCGTTGTAGGTCCTGCGACGTTCTGGCACTTTCAAGGGCTCCCCGCTTCGCGCTTCGCGCTTCGCGCTGCGCGAAGTGCGAATAGCTTCGCGCTCTCGCGCCGCCTCCCAGGGGAGCAAAGGAGAGTGAGGAGGAATGGGGGACGAACCGCGAATTGCGAAGCGCGAATAACTTCGCGCCCTCGAGGTCGCCCTTATTGTTGCTACAGTTCCTCTGTATGTTGGCCATCTCGGACACCCCCCAGACCGCTCCGCCAGACCCCGCCCAGCACTCCGAGACAGCTCGGCATCAGACCGCCCTTCTGCTATGGCATCGGATGACTATCCTGGGCCCGAATCGCGAAGACCTTCGCGCCCTCTAGGGCGCCCTGGAGACCCGCCCCAGGCCCAGGCCCTCCCTCATCGTCCACCCTAAATAGCAGTCGGCGCCCCCTCCCGACGGGCATACTTGGCCAGCGGACCCCGGCGAACCCCGCCCTCCCCGCTGCGGGCAGCGCCGCAGCGCCCGAGCGAGGTGCTGACGTGGCAACTTCTGGTGGGCCTCCAGGGCACAGCAGGAGCTCGACCCCCAGCAACCTGCCACGAGACGCCGAACCCCGAGACCCCAGGACGTCCCTGGATCCTTGGTGTGGGAACGCCACGCCCTCCATCGCGAGACCATCGAAGCCCGAGAAGCCCGGGGCACCCAGGAGGCAAGCAGGGAGAGCCTTGGCATGTGCTTCCGCCGTGCCCGTTGGGGCGCCGCGCCGAGACATGGACGGGGGCGCACAGACCGTGGGATCTCCTGCGGCCGGCGCCTCGCGGGAGGTCCGCGACGGGCCCGCCGGGGTGGCCGCGCAGCGCCGCCGCCGTGGATGCGTTCCTTGTCGGGCTGCAGGGGGAGAGGAGGGCCAGGGGAGAAGAATCGAAGGAGGGCCACGGCGTCCCTCCTGGCATCGGTCGTTCCTTCGCTGGCGGCCTGGTGGCTTCTCGTGCCACGGCTGGATCCGCCTCGAACTGGTCAGGATGGATCTCTGGGGATCTCCGTCCTTTATCCTTGTAGATGTGAATAACCCTGTCGTACCCCCAGGCGTGTCCGCAAGGCGGGCGGGCTGGGCGTTTCGCCTGGGAATGATATATGATCCAGAAGCTTGGACGTTGCGACAGCTTCAAGGGTGGAGAGGGGGTCGTTTTCAGAATGTAGTTCTCGCCTAAGCTCCCCGTGAATTCATTAAATCTTGAAGCGATTTGAGACTCGGTTCTTGGCTTAGCGCCGCTCACATTCGCCTTACAGGTTTGCAACAACTTCAAGGATGGAGGGGGAGAAACGTGACTCTCGCAATAGCGCCGCGCAGAGTAGTCTTGAACTTCTGCAGCAGCTTCAAGGAAGGAGGGCGGCTCTTTCCGAAGCTTGGCACACTTGTTGAAAAATGTGGCAACAGCTTCAAGCGTATAGGCGAGGTGGTGGCGTTTTCATGGGGGCCCGTGCCTCAGCGCCGCCAAGGTTCGTCTTCAAAGCTTGCAACAGCTTCACGGATGGAGGGGGTTCAACCAATTGCTCTCGCCGCAGCGCCGCGCACATTCGTCTTACGATCTTGCAACACTTGAAAGATGAAGGGCGGGTCGTTTTCAGAATGGTGATTTCTCCTTAGCGTCGCGCGGATTCGTCGCGCAAGCCACTCCAAGCAGGGCGGCGACGGTTTTTTGTTCCGAAGTGTAAGCCAGACGGGCCCGGGGCTCCAACACATGTAGCGCTGCACGGATCCAGGGCAGCTCTGGTCCGAACTGGAGCTCCCCCTTGAGACTTCTTCGCGTGTCCTGGCAACACGTGCAAGCTCACGCAAAGGTTACACGGATGAGGGGGGTCCTTGTTCGAAACGGGGATCTCGTTGAACACCTCGTCGAGCTGCATGCTTATGATTGTGCGCATCCCTGATCACGCGCCAAAATGACGCAGTCCTACAAAACGGAGCACATGCCAACATCGCATGCCCATATGGTGATGGTCTTTCCAGGCGGGGGCGCGTCCTGTAGAGACAAAAAGAGCTTGTGGGGCGTGTGAGGAGGGGACTTGGGAGGGGAGGATGCATTGCAGCATCGCTGATGCATCCGGGGTTGACTCTGGTCCTCCGCCAAGGGGGCTCCAGAGCCGATCCAAGAGATCCGCGAGGACCTTCTGAAGTCTACACCTATGCAGATGGCCCGGGTCGGGGAGATGCAAGACTTGGTGGGCTCGGGGGATTCGGGTTGGACCGACGGGGCCGTCAGGAAAAACACGAGACCCACTGTGAAATTTGACGCGCCCTCCCGCTGCAAGCATCCCACGAAAGCTGGACCGTCAAAATCTCGGGCGTGGCTCACCACAGAGCGTCGGCGAATCCCAGTGCCAGCGAACCCGAGTCTTACGCTTCCGCAGATGGGGGGGGAAGGGGGGGGACTTCCGTCGTCGTGGTCGGCGTCGGCACCTCAATCGCCGCGGGAGTCGCGGAAGTCGTCAGCGGCGGCGGTCGGCGGCGGCGGCCGCGGGGTTGGCGCGGCGGCGTCGGCGTCGTCGTTCGAGCGCCGAGGAGTTCACGGCCGCGAGCCGCACGACGGACGCCGGCGGCATATAAAGGGGGGGCGTCGTCGGCGGCGGCGTCGGCGCAGTCGCAGCAGAGGTCGTTGGCAGCGATCGCCGGCGGCGGCGGCCGCCGGGCGTGCGCAGCGGCGTCGGAGTCGTCATTGGTGTCAGCGTCGACGTCGGCGGCGTCGGCGTCGGATGCGTCGTCGTAGTCGCCGCGGAGGTCGGCGGCGGCGGTGGTCACTCGCGGCGGCTGCGCCGAACGTGCGCGTCGGCGTCGGCGTTGTCGTTGGCGTCGTCGTCATTCGCGTCGTCGTTGGCGGCGTCGTTTGCACCATCTTTGGCATCGTCGTTGTCGTCGGTGGCATCGTCGGCGTCGTCGCGTCATCGTTGGCGTCGGCCTCGGAGTCGTCGTCGTTCGAACGTCTATGACAGTCTACGATTTCCACGACCATGGGCAGTCCGACAGACGACGGCGGAACACAAGGCGACGTCTGCAGAGGTCTCCGGAATGGGCTTCTAGTAGAGACGGACAGAGGATCGCACCGCATTGCCAATGCATCGCCGATGCACTGCTTGCCATCGCTCGGACGCACGATTTCGTGTGCATGTTTCGGTCTCGTGCGCTTATTTTTTCGAAAGGTACTCAAGATGCTCCTCGATGGTCCTCGCCGAGAACAAGTGCACGCGTCCGAGCGATGTCGAGGCTGGCGGTACATCGGCGATGCATTGGCGACGTGGCGGTGCATCGGCGACGTCGGCGTGCAGAAATCGGGCTCCACGTCGAGCCGCATCGCCGATGCATCGGCGACGCGGCGCAATCCCAGGGCCGATTTTCCACCATCACTACCAGAAGGCAGGAGAGGGAACAGGAGGAAGTGGAGTGAAGTGGAGTCCCAGCTGGCAGGCCCACGCGCGGCAGGACGGCATGCATTACAGGAGGAGGAGGAGGAGGAGGAGGAGGAGGAGGAGGAGGAGGAGGACCTGCCCATCCTTCCTTCACTTCTCCCCCGTCCTGCATACGCCGGGGGCGGCCAAGAGGGGGGTGTCCAAGAGGGGGGGCGCAGATCATGGCCGGCGACGTTTGCGCGGCCCGGGGGGGGGGGGCCAGGGTCGTCTTGAAACGAGAAGAGGCGCCATGAAATCTGGGGAGATATCATGGCCCCCGCCATGACATCCGATCCCCCCCCCCCTAGTCATCACCCCCCTCGCTGCCGCCCCCGAACACGGTAGTGGCGGCGGAACATTGAATCCTCCGACCCCACCGGCTCGGACCCACAGCTGGGAGACCTACAGAAGGCCTGGCAGCGCAGTGGGGGGCAGCACGCTCCTCTGTGGTCCCGCTCTGCGGGCGGGAGCTCCTGCCTCAGGTCGGGCACGTACCCCCACAGGCAGGTCTTGGAGGACAACTTCGAAATGGCCCAAACGAATTCAAACATCTGTTAGAACAAAAACCGAGCAATCGTCCCCAGACTGTGTGTTGGACTCTTTTGGGATGCTCCTCCTGTAGATAGGGAGCCCACAAAGGACGTACGCGCCCAGCTATGTACACGAACACGGCCCCTTGACCCGCGAGACCGGCCGCGTGATATGAGTACTCGCGCGATGCAGAATCTCGAAAACAGCATGGATTCATGTACGTGTACGTCCTTTTTTTCGCTCCTGAGTAGAGAGACGCGCCCGACTTCACTCTTGGCCCCCACTCCTGGACTATTTTCGGGATGTTCCTCCTGTAGACTATGTTTGGACTATTTTCGGGATGTTTATACTATGTTTGGACTATTTTGGACTATTTGGGACTATGTTTGGACTATTTTCGGGATGTTCCTCCTGTAGAGAGACACGCCCGACTTCACTCCTGGCCCCCACTCCTCGCCGGCGCCTCCCCTCCCTCCCCCTTGGTGCGGCAGGAGCAGGCAGGGCCCCGGGTTCTCCCGACGGCGTGCTCTCTCGGGCCGGGGCTGTGGCCGCTGCTCCCCCACCCAAAGGTGAGACGAGCGTCGAGGACTTCGGACGTTCCTGCACGTTCGGGAGTAGGGAGAGAGCTGATACATCGTGTCTTCGCTGCTCGTTCTACCATCCACCTGGGCCCCACCGTCGACAAGACGAGCGCGCGCGGCAGAACCCTGGCATGGCCTGCGAACGGGTAGGCTCTCTGCAGGCTCGCCTCCGCGCGCGATCTCGAGCGAGGCCGTCTGCGTGGCACCCCGACCCGCGTGCCGCCGGGCGCTTGGCATTCTAGGCCGGCCCCACTCTGCTCCGCTGTGCACATGAGCTGCACCTGCCGTGCGCCTCGGCGGTCGACCTGCCCGAACTCTGCCAGCGGACGATCACTCTCCGCTGCTCGAACCGGGAGAGGCCTGGAGGCTTCACCATCTGGGGGGCAAACGAACCTGCCTCGCTTTTGACCACCCTCGCTTCCAAGAGATACCAAGCGATGCCAAACTACGGCCTGTGCTGGTCAGGCCGCTCGACGAGGCGGCGCGTGGTATGACTTGGCCTTGCCTGGAAGCGAAAGCGGGGTGGGCAATTCACGCTCTGACCATCTGCCTGACCACGCGTCTCTCCTTCTTGTCGCCCCTCCCCTCCCCCCCTCCGAGGGAGTGGCGGTGGGGGGAGGCGGCACCAGGACGGCGAGGCAGGCGAGGGCGGGGAGGCGGAGGAGGGCGACGACTGCGAGGGCGACGGGAACGAAGAAAAAAGGGGAGGGGTAGAGGAAAGAGAACTACGCACGTACACCGTAGCCCAGGATCGGTGCATACGCCCTCCTACCCTGGCCAGGAAGGCACATGCACCGATCTTGGGCCCAGGGTGGGCCCTGTCAGGGTCGGTGCATGTGCATAGTTCTCTTCGCCCGAGCAAAAGGGGAGGGGGGGGGGGGGCGAGCACAGCGAGGGCGAGGAACGACGGCGCGGGCGCGGCGGGGGCGAGGCACAGTCCTGGCGAGCCGCGTGCCCGCAGCGACCGCCGCGTGGCCGAGGGCCAGGACCACGAGCAGGCCACCGGCCATGCCGGGCTCTGCGAGGGGCAGGGGAGCAGCCCTGCGCTTCATTACAGGGCAGACACCCTCGGAGCCCAACAGCTGCTGGGGGCGCATCCCCGCGGACACGCTGCGACCTGCCGGTCCAAGGTCCCCTCACTGGGATCGGCAGGGGAGGCCGAAGGCAAAACCGGCAGCAGGGTGACAGACAAGATGAAGACAAACGGCGGGCGTCGGCGCACGGTATCTCTGCCGGCGTTGGCCCGTCCCCCCAAGATTCTTCTTTGTTTTGTGTTTGGGGGTGAGAGGCCCCCAAGATGCATCGCAAGAGACCCCCAGAGGCTTCCACCACAGGCCCCCATACACAGGTAAAGGTGACAGGATGGGCCGAGGGCCACTAGACCTGGCCCGGCACAGAAACGGAAGGAGCGCTGCAGCAACAGAAACCGCAATGACTCACACCACCGTGCGTGCCGGGAGCCTGGGCGTTGAGAGTTGGTTACGTCACCCCTCGCTCTTGGGAGCCTTGGGGTTCAGAGATTGTTGCGTTGCCGCCCGTTCCTGAGCCTTGGCTGGGCCTTGGTGTCAGGAACTTGTTACGTCACCGCTCTCTGCTGGGAGCCTTGGTCTTATCAGCTTGTTTACGTCACCGTTTGCTCTTGGGAGCCTTGGTGTGAAGAGCTTTTTGCGTTACCGATCGCTCTTGGCGTCTCTGGGCCTTCGTGGGAGTCCTATTGGGGCCCTTTTCGTGCCCTCCTGGTGGCCTCTTGGGACGCCTCTTGGGGGCCTCTGGGGCTTCTTGAGGGTCTGTGGGGGCCTCCCGGGAGCGTCTTGGGGCGAAAGGCTACACGTCTTGGGCGCCTCTTGGGCCGTCTGGGGGCCCTCTTGGGCCGTTTTGGGGGCCTCTTGGGAGCCTCTTGGGCCGCTGGGGGCTTCTTGGGCCGTCGTCAACGCCGTGAAAGCCGACAAGCCGTGAATGCTAAAAAAATATTTCTCCTATAAAAAATCTATGATTTGGGCCTCCTGTTGGCCTCCTGGGACGCCTCTTGGGGCTTCTTGGGGGGCTGTGGGGGCCTCCTGGGAGCGTCTTGGGGCGATAGGCTAGACTTTTCGGTTCGTGGTCTCCCTCTTGGGGCCGTCTTGGGGCCCTCTTGGGCCGTCTTGGGCGCCTCTTGGGCCGTCTTGGGGCGGTCTTGGGGGCCTCTTGGGCCGTCGTCAACGCCGTGAACAGCGAAAAGCCGTATATGCAAACAAAAATAATTTTCCTTGGGGGCATCGATGATTTTGGCCTCTTGGGGCCCTCTTGGGACGCCCCTTGGGCCCCTCTTGGGGCGTCTTGGGGGCCTCTTGGGACGTTTTGGGGCTGTCTTGGGCGGCCTTGGGGCCGTCTTGGGCCTGTCCTGGGCGAAAGGCTAGACTTTCGGGTTCGTGGTCCCCCTCTTGTGGCCGTCTTGGGACCCTCTTGGGCCGCCTTGGGCGCCTCTTGGGCAGTCTGGGGGCCCTCTTGGGGGCCTCTTGGGAGCCTCTTGGGCCGTCTTGGGGCGGTCTTAGAGGCCTCGTGGGCCGTCGCCAACGCCGTGAAAGCCGAAAAGCCGTGCACGCTTAAAAATATATACGTTTTTACCTAACATCGAAGACTGGTAGGTTTCTAGTGGTGTCAAAAGAGAGCAAGCAGCACATTACTTCAACATTACTTCAACATTACTCCACAGGGGGGTCTGGGCAGCCGTTGGGGGCAGTTGGGGGGGCAGTTGGGGGGCTGTTGGGGTTTGCCGGCGGGGATCGTTGTTTGCATACAGTCACACATTTCGTGCCCACTTCGTGTTCTTCGATTTCCCCAAACTCCATTCCCGGGCCACATTTTGGAAGCCCGGAGCCAACTGTAGGCCACTTCGTGCTCTTCGATTTCCCAGAACTCCATTCCCGGGCCACATTTTGGATGCCCGGAGCCAACTGTAGGCCACTTCGTGCTTTTCTATTTCCCAGAAATCCATTCCCGGGCCACATTTTGGATGCCCGGAGCCAACTGTAAGCCACTTCGTGCTTTTCTATTTCCCAAAACTCCATTCCCGGGCCACATTTTGGATGCCCGGAGCCAACTGATCATCATCACAACCACCACCAGCACCTCAACCACCATCACCACCACCACCATCATCACCAGCAGCAACAGCATCATCATAATCATCATCATCATCCTCCTAGCCCTCCTCCTGCTCCTCCTCCTCCTCCTCCTCCTCCTCCTCCTCATCATCATCATCATCATGATTATCATCATCATCATCATCATCATCATCATTATCATCATCACCACCACCACCATCATCACCGTCATCATCATCATCATCATCATCATCATCATCATCAATATCATTCTCATCATCATCATCACAACCACCACCATCACCTCAACCACCATCACCACCACCACCATCATCACCAGCAGCAACAGCATCATCATAATCATCATCATCAAAATCATCATCATCGCCATCATCATCATCAACATCAGCATCAGCATCGTCATCGTCATCGTCATCGTCGTTGTCTTGACAGCCGTCTTTGGTTCAGGACGTGCCCTTCCAGGATGGCCCTCCCTTGGCCCTATCCTTACCGGCCTGCAGCCTCGGCTTCTCGCGGTGCTTCTCAGCCTGCGGAGGAAGACCGACACACGCCTGCGGCCGCGCCTGCTCGCTGTGATCCTCAACCTGCGTCTTTTACGGTCGCCTCTTTTAACTTCGGGTTCGAGCAGAGCATGATGATGGGGAAGAACTCCAAGACTCACTGCTCCAACTTCGGGCGGATTTGCGCCAAGATAGTCGAGGAAGTCGATGCTGACCTTTTCTTTGGGTGCGAGGTCGGTGCGTTTCGTCAAGGCCTGAGTCGAGCATCCATCAACGTGAAAGACATCCTGACCAAGCCGTTCGGCGACAGCATCGGCTTCTGCGAGGTCGCCAACTACTTGAGCCTATGGGGCTTCGGCGGTGCTTCTCAGCCTGCTGACGTGTCCCTGCGCGAGGACACATACATCTACCACGTCCCCATCGCGCGACAAGTGGACGCAGTGATCTCACGGTTCAATGTGCAGACAGGAGGCCATGACAAAGTTCACGTGGTCGTCGGAAACATGCACATCGTTTGCGGAAGCAACCCTCCCAGCATTCACACGCGACAGAAAGCAGTTCGGTTTCTCCGACTCCACTTGGACGGGATCGCCGTGCTTCTCAGTACTGGGGAGCCGGGCACGCCGGTCGTGCGCCTCGTGAGTTGCTGTTTTGAGATGGGACGTACACCCATTCAAGCATCCGTGCGTTGATACCAGTGTCTCGTTTGGACATGCATCCATTCGAGCTCCGTGCGTTGATAGCAGTGTTTCATTTGGAGGTACATCCATTCAAGCTTTGTGCGTTGATAGCAGTGTCTCGTTTGGACATACACCCATTCGAGCTCCGTGCGATGATAGCAGTGTCTCGCTTGGACATACATCCATTCAAGTTCCGTGCGTTGATAGCAGTGTCTCGTTTGGACATACATCCCTCCAGCTATGCTTCTACATATCGATGTTAGGTTTCTTTGCCAGGATAATCCTATGGGAAACCTATGATTTTGGCCTCCTGTTGGCCTCCTGGGACGCCTCTTGGGGACCTCTTGGGGCTTCTTGGGGGGCTGTGGGGGCCTCCGGGGAGCGTCTTGGGGCGATAGGCTAGACTTTTCGGTTCGTGGTCTCCCTCTTGGGGCCGTCTTGGGGCCCTCTTGGGCCGTCTTGGGCGCCTCTTGGGCCGTCTTGGGGCGGTCTTGGGGGCCTCTTGGGCCGTCGTCAACGCCGTGAAAGGCAAAAAGCCGTCGATATCAAAACTATACGTTTTCCTTTGGAAAATCGCTGATGTTGGCCTCTTGGGGCCCTCTTGGGACGCCCTTTGGGCGCCTCTTGGGGCGTCTTGGGGGCCTCTTGGGACGTCTTGGGGCTGTCTTGGGCGGTCTGGGGCTCTTCTGGGACGGAAGAAAATATAACAAACATGCTAAAACCCAAAGGGAAACCCCCAAACTGCCATTAACAACCTTTCGTGCGCGGTACGCACCCCCCTGGAACCCCCCTTAAGAGGAACGCCCAAAACACAACGTCATCGCTCGTACCTCGCTCTTTCCGTTACCTGGCCCGGCACAGAAACGGAAGGAGCGCTTCAGAAACAGAAAGCGAAATTACTCACACAACCGTTCGTACCGGGAGCCTTGGCGTTGAGAGCTTGTTACGTCACCCCTCGCTCTTGGGAGCCTTGGGGTTCAGAGATTGTTGCGCTGCCGCCCGTTCCTGAACCTTGGCTTGGCCTTGGGGTCAGGAACTTGTTACGTCACCGCTCTCTGCTGGGAGCCTTGGTCTTATCAGCTTGTTTACGTCACCGTTTGCTCTCGGGAGCCTTGGTGTGAAGAGCTTTTTGCGTTACCGATCGCTCTCTATTTGGCGTCTCTGGGCCTTCGTGGGCGTCCTATTGGGGCCCTTTTGGACCCTTTTGGAGGCCTCTCGGGGGCCTCTTGGGGCTTCTTGGGGGGGCCTCCTGGGAGCTTCTTGGGGCGAAAGGCTAAACTTTTCGGTTCGTGGTCCCCCTCTTGGGGCCGTCTTGGGGCCCTCTTGGGCCGTTTTGGGCGCCTCTTGGGCTGTCTTGGGGCCCTCTTGGGCCGTCTTGGGCGCCTCTTGGGCCGTCTTGGGGCCCTCTTGGGCCGTTTGGGGGGCCTCTTGGGAGCCTTTTGGGCCTCCTTGGGGCGGTCTTGGGGCCTCTTGGAGCGTCGTCAACGCAGTGAAAGCCAGAAAGCCGTTCATGCTAAATATCTACCTTAGCCAGTAGGAAATCAATGAGTTTGGCCTCTTGGTGGCCTCTTGGGACGCCTCTTGGGGGCCTCTTGGGGCTTCTTGGGGGGCTCTTCGGGCCTCCTGGGAGCATCTAGGGGCGAAAAGCTAAACTGTTCGGTCGTGGTCCCCCTCTTGGGGCCGTCTTGGGGCCCTCTTGGGCCGTCTTGGGCGCCTCTTGGGCCGTCTTGGGGCCCTCTTGGGCCGTTTTGGGGGCCTCTTGGGAGCCTCTTGGGAGCCTCTTGGGCCGTCGTGGGGCGGTCTTGGGAGCCTCTTGGGCCGTCGTCAACGCCG